ATATATATATGTATATATATATATATATATATATATATATATATATTATAACTATAGTTATATAATACTCTTTACTCTCTCTCTCTCTATGTATATATATATATAGGGTTCAATATATATATATATATACATAGGTATATATTGGGTTATCCAAGGCCGATGATGCGGCGGGCATGGTGCAGAGACTGCTTGGCCTCTTGCATGTCTTGCACAACCCCATGGACAACCGAAAACCCAATCCATGACCCTGAAACCCTAAGTATAACCCTGCATTCTTGATACCCTATATAATTCCGAAAATAAAGGTCGCGAGATTTGCCTGCATGGGGCTTGTGTAAAGACAGTAATCCCTGCATGCTGGGTCGGGCAAGGGAGCACGCATGCCTTTCCGGCCGATGTTCACAGCAGCAGTCGAACCGACTATATAAGGCATGGTATCTATATTCTTACCCGGAAGCATTTCTAAGTTGGCATTATATATATATATCCCCGAGACCCACGCATGGATGATTCCTCTGCCTCTGCACCTCTATGAAATGTTCCGGGACTATATTTACTAACCCGATCGAAAACTCCATCCAAGCCACGTGCAATTCCCAGTATGGTTCGATTGCTCGCAGAGTTTGCTCGACGCCACATGCATACTTGCCTGGGCTTGGAAAAGGTTTGCTTTGGGTTGAGCAGGCTCTGCCGAACGGTACAGCGTCAGCCTGTGCAGGAGCGCCAAGCGGACGGCCGTCACGTGTGGAAAGTTCCACGCGGCCTGAAGTGCAAGGATGGCTGAACTTCATAGTTGCGAGCCGAAGCCGATTCTTCATACGGTCGCGCTCAAGCCGAAAATGAATCTTCGGCGCGGGGTGGGCTGGGGGTGTGTGGGGGTAATTCGGGGTGTGCTGAAGGGGTTGCCGGTTCTTGGGTATGTAGCCCTAGGTTCCCGAAGGCAAAACCAAGTCCCTGTGAGGACCATTGCATTCGCCACTGCTGGCGATAACTGACAAGATGTCACCCCAACTTCCCTAATATAGCAATACAGTGGGCCTTAGCAACTAAAATTCCTTCACAGATTATTCGTAGGGACCCCAACAAATAACTTAGTGATTCCGGCCCCTGTATTACACCCTAAGCCCTAAACGGTCAGAAAGTCACCAAAGGTGGCGATGAGTGAGAGAATGCGAATTCAGCGACGTCAACACCCCGATTTCCCTAATATAGTACACGTAATACAGTGGGCCTTAGCGCTTAGAATACCCTTTACAGATTGTTCGTAGGGACCCCAAGAAATAACTTGGTGATTCCGGCCTTTGTATTACACCCTAAACTGTCAGACATGCCGTTTTTCTCATAATCACCAGAGGTGGCGATGAGTGAGAGAACACGAATTCAGCGGCGTCAACACTATGCATTCAGTAGGTTTTCTACTCGGAACTATAGTATTGTTTACGAGTCCGGCCCCTGAAGCCCCAAAATCTCAGAGTTTCTCTCACCATCCGTGTGCCGATTTTGTCTGAAAGTCGCCAGTGGTGGCGGCGATGAGTGACGACTCTGTGGGAGTCGCGACTACCAAGGCAGCTCTTTTTCAGCGTGCTCGGGCGCGAATATGCTCCCAACATGACAAGCCGCACGCAAGCCATCAATGGCGGCCCAAACATGCTCCCGCTACGCTAGAGTATATTGCCTGTTCTCGGGCACCAATCGTGCTCCCAATACAGTACATGTAGGCTCAAATGTGCTCCTGCAACAATCGTGATCCCACCACAGTCTACCACAGCCTGTGCTCTACCCGGAAAAGGCTTCACTTCCACAGGACGCACGTCCGGACTACAATGCTAATTGGGTGGCAGGGTGGGGTCCACCCCCTAATTAGCATTGTAAAACCCAAACGGGGTGTAGGTCCCACGTAGAGAAGGGCTGGGACCCACCGGGTCCCACCGAACCCGATGCGGGTAGCAGTTGGCAATGAACGGCATTTGGTTTTTAGGGTGAGACCATGCCTTCAGCCGAACCAGATTTTTTGCGTCCGAGCGTGGAAAAGGGCAGCGACATCCCAACGCACGCTGTAGAAACCAACTGCGCTGCGTCCCCCCGACCCCGCTGTGGCCGCATGTGAAAGTGTGCTTAGTTGACAGCGCATATACGAGCAAGTCTCCCATACCGTGAGCCCAACGGAAGACGTTAGGCAAAGAAAAAATGGGTCAGAATCAAAAGTACGATGAGAAAGTAGCTTGTGTCTGGAGCCCTTGACGCAGCTAAAACACGCCGCCTGCAACACAGAAGCGGCAGATGCAGCTGCGCAAGAGGAATGCATGTGGCGAGATACGCACCCTCATGCAGACTCGGAGTTGAGCTCGCTCCCGACCATTATGGCAGAGCCGATTGCTATCAGCAGGAGTTTCAGGGTTTTGTCGACGAGGCCCAGGCCTGAGGCTACGAGGCTTCGTTTGCAATCCATGCTTGGCTTGCTCTGCATCCGCCTCCACAAAAGACCCACAATGTCAGGCCGCGACTGCAGACTCCCGAGCAGCAGCAGAAGCTCCGTGACATCGTGGCCGCGTGCACTGGTACGCTCCCGCAGGCGGACAGCTTAGGCTGCTGCATGCCAGACGTTGCCAGGGCTGATTGGGTGAGGTGCCGCCGCTGCAAGTTGTCGGGCAAGTGCAGGCTGAGCTGCCATCGCAGCCAGTTCCTGCTAGCCGCATTGTAGCAGATATGTTCAATGGGTTGGGAAGAGAAGGGTTCCTGCTTAAAGCTCCCAGGCTCCGACGATGCAGCCGACACAGGCTTCCGCCTGCGTGCAGCATCGTGCCTCTTCACGTACAACTCGGCCGAGTTGTCTGAAGACTGGTGGGGGCCGTTTGTGGCCTGGCTTCAGACACTCGGGTTCGTCTTTCGCTGGACGGCTACACTGGAGACGTCTCTACGATCTGGGCTTGAGGGCCGCCTCCACCTGCACGTCTTCATGGAGTTCAACGAGGCAGTTGATTGGACGGGCCTTCGTGCCGTCACTTTCAACGGCATTTGACCGAATACAAAGGCCACAGCAGGTCGGGGGGCGAAGGTGAGGAAATGAAGAACCACGGTCATTTCTACGTCTTCGCGGACAAGGCGTCGGCAGGTCTGTCCAATACAGTGAAGTGTTTGGAGAGTACTGCAGCCGTGTTTGTCAACCCGAGCCTCATCTTCAGGTCGGGACCTTGAAGGTAGCCACATCTGGGTATGAACCTTGGAAAGATTATCCAGTCAAAGGCTGGTGGCTGGATTCTATATGAGTCCGAACACAAACTGACACATGATGTCTACATCCGGTATGCGGTCGGGCCTTATCGTGTGTAGCCGATGCAGATCAGATTTGCTAGGTTTCTTTTTGCGTAGTGCTAGAACGTGGATCCCAGCAGACAGGTGTCAAGTGCGTATTGGCTTCCTGGGACGATTGAAGCAAGTTGAGAGTGTTCGCTTTCAGGAGCGGCTCGGCGAATACCAGGCCGAGCAGATTGCCACGGAGCAAAGGCTCCAGGCGTGAAGCGACCTTTCCGGCCTGAAGTCTTGGCAGCTCTGCAGCCCTGGGCCGCGCAGTACACTGCGGAACAACTACGCTACAAGTTTCTCGTCTTGTGGGGTGGGTCTAGAACCGGGAAGAGCACATTGGCGAAGTCCCTTGGCAGCGTCTATGGCTGGGGCAACCCTTCATCCAGACGGTGCAGGGCGCACCAGCCCCCGATCTAAAAGAGTTTGACAAAGACTCTCATGGCTACATTCTTTTCGACAACGTGAACGACATGCTCTTTGTGCTGGACCATGCAGTCCAACAACTCCGTGCACACACTGGGCCAATCGCAAACAGGCATGTATGCGTATCGCGTGGGGTCTACAAAGTCCCGATAGTCATGACGGTGGATGACAATGCTGGTGGGATTCTGACGAGCCATGGGTCCACGAAAACATGATTGAACTCATTTTGCGTGGCCCGTGCTACCAGTGAAGCGTCGTGGTTCAACCGCCTTTGCTGCAAAATGCGAAAGGGGGCCGAGGTGATTTCGCGGTTCGATTTTACAGCCTGGATTCCGTCCTCAGGGCCGGTTTCAACTTCACTGTATTTTAATTAGCAGCTATTTAAACCCTATTACTCTTATTTAGTAGCTATTTAAAGCCTCATTATTATTGTTATTAATTAGCAGCTACAAAATCTTTTTAGTCTTAATTAGCAGCTATTAAAACCGTAATTACTGTTTTTAATTAGCAGCTATTGAAACCCTGTTTTTAATTAGCAGATGTTTTTCAACCCTTCTATCCTTATTTAGCAGCTACTGGTAAATTGGAATTTAACCGGATACACACCCTGGGAAGCTCAAATTGAGTTTAAGCAAATTGATTTTAAGTAAATTTCAACCGATAGCTTAAACAATGAATTTAAGTAAATTGGATCGCCGTTACTTGAGCCGGACACATGTAGCACATATGTCAACTGAATCAAGTGTAGTTGTTTCAATTTGAAAAGAATGTCAAGGAAAACCACGCGCGGTGAAATACGCAAGCTCAATTTGTGGGGGCTTGAGGGTTTAGGGTTTAGAGGTTTCGGGTTTTGGGTGTAGGGGTTTAGGGGTTTAGGGGTTTATGGTTTAGGGGTTTTAGGGGTCCGTGGAAGTCAGAGATTGCTTACCATCCGCATGCAAACACTGCAAGTACGAAGTCATAAACCTCATAAAGGTACAGACGTTGAATCTGCAAAACCGTAAAACCTTAAAGCTTAAACAACAAGCCCCAGCACACATCAACGAGCCCTAAAGTTTAGATCCGACAAAAGACATCCGCAGAAAGAGCCCCAACACCTTTGTTCCTGAGGGTTGTAGTGTATATACATATACAAATCCCATCACGTTTCCTTAAATGGAAAAGCCTAAGCCCTAAACGTTTCTCGGGTTTGCATCTTGAACCCCTAAACCCTAGATCTTAGCCCTTAAGCCCCATGATTGACCCTCACAAGCGTGGCGTCTTTTTTTCCCCAGGTTCCCTCTCAGAGCTCGATCTCTCCTTCTGCAGCCTCAAATCCGGCTGTGCACGGCCCCTCGTTTGGCCCTTGAGGGTTCTACAAAGGTTGATATATGGGGGCCTTGACATGTAGAATAAGGTCTTTCCAGGAACCCCCCCAAAAAATATAGCCAACTATCAAGGCCTTCATATTACGGTTTAGGGTTAAGGTTTCGGGTTTAGGGTTTGGTTAAGTTCAATGAATAATGTAAGGGCCTTAATAGTTACAGGGTGGTTTCCTGTGAGGGTGGAGGCTTTGTGCCCAATAGCGACAGAGACGTTGCAAGGGGTCTACGTGAAGGGTTTTGGGTCAGGATGTGCATGGTATGGTTGTATCTGCCGGGTTGACGAACTCCTCCAAACCCGAAACCAATCTTAAACCCGAAACACTAAACTAACCCTAAACCCTGAACACTAAACTAACCCTAAACCCTGAACACTAAACTAATCCTAAGCCCTGAACACAAAACTAACCCTAAACCCTGAACACTAAACTAACCCTAAACCCTGAACACTAAACTAAGCCAAAACCCTGAACACTAAACTAAGCCAAAACCCTGAAGTGAAGGCCCCGGGTACACCAAGCAGCCTTTGTCGTTCAAGCCTCGGGTTGGGAGGCTCTGCTTCGGCACCCCAGAAGCCCAGACTTGGAAGATTCCTATGGTCCGTTTCGGTATACTGTAGTGGAGATGGGGGGATAGTATGATGGAAGCCTTGAAGCCTTGAAGTTCCAATCCCGAAAAGTTTAGAACCTAAGCCCTGAAGCCTAAGGCCTCACTCCTCTAATCTCATGTGGGTTAAGCTCTTAACTTCCGAACCTTGCACCATCCTGAACCTGAGTGAATACCTAAGTCCTTGAAACCTACAACTTTTTCAACATTTTCCAAAACCCTTTAAAAAATTGTTAGGACCCGAAATCCTTAACCCCAATGCACACAGCCTTCGCAGAAGCGAACCCTCAAGGGCCATGAAACAAGGATCCTTGGTGCCGGGCACTCCCTGCGGCAGCTGCAGCTCTTCGGCAATGTCGCCGGGCCGGAAGCCGCTGAGGCGGCTCGGACGGCTTCGGGGAGTTGCGATGGAGTGCTCAGGGATTTGCGGAGATGGTCAGAGGTCTCGGGCCCCAAACGGTAATTACCTGTGTTGTCCTTAGAAATCGAAGGCAGCTTCAAGGGCATAGAGGACTGAGTTTGGGCCTGGCTTACCTTTCGCAGAGTCTGGGGAACACAACATGTGGCAGTGTATTACGACTGCGGTAGTTGCCTTAAAATAAGGACCCTGAAAGGGACCCTGAACCGGCGCCAGGGTCCTGTAGAGAAGAGTGCATGTCTGAGAGGAAGTCAAGGCACACAGCCAGACAGATAGACAGAGAGAGAGAGAGAGAGAGATGTGTACATATATATATATATATAGATAGATAGGTATATAGATAGATGGATATCGATATGCTGTAGCCTACCCTAAAACCGTATTGTTCTAATTACCTGTAGCGCACCGACATTAAGGCCCTTCAAAGCGCATGATCTTTCATAGCACCCTATGCAACCCTATGAAACATTGAAAATATTGAACCCCCCCCTACAGAAACTGAAAAAACACCCTCTTCCCGGCAGTATTGTGGTTCTTTTTCTTTGAGGCTACCGGTCCAGGTTGAGGCTTTCAGTTGCAGGCATTTGGCGTGGCAGCCGGTGCTGGTGTGACCTGGCTTTCACAACTGGGTCTATGTAGAAGGCGAGGTTTAGGGTTCAGGGTTCGGGTTTCGCGTTTCAGGGTTTTGAGTTTGGGGTTCACGGGAGCGTTAAAGTCATATCTGTATGTGATGGCTGTTTGAAGGTGCTTGTTGGCTTTTTTGCAGGGAAAGTAAAATCGGAAAGGGATTCTTCCCCCTTTCGTAGAGCAGTACATCTGACAAAACCGGCCTTTGCCGTGGAGGCACCAAGAAAAACTGTCCTGGGACGGGAGCCACGTGCCACAAGCAACTCGTAAACTCTGGCCCGAAGCCCTAAACCCCGGAGCCTTTCACAAAACCAACCAGGCCCGGGAGCCGAAATCGTGCCCTCCGAACCTCAAGCTCCCAAAATAAATTTGATATGTCGCATAGCACCGCCATGATGCTCGCCCATAAACCGTACAACCCCTGAAGCCTTAAAGCCTCCAAAGCCCTGAACTCCCACAGCCTTCAAACCCCTGAGAAACCCTTAAGCTCACCGAAAGGGCCGCAATCTCCGAGCCTAAACTCCTAAACCCTAAACTTCTCAACTGTATACCTAAGCTCCGAACCCTAAACTCCTAAACTTTAAACCTAAACCTCGAGCCCGAAACTCCTTCACCAAAAAGCATAAGCCCAAAGCCTAAAGCCAAAGTTACTAAACTTAGCACCCAAACTTTAAACCCTGAACCCTGAGTCCTGAACCCTAAGCTTTAAACAATAAACCCTCAGTCGTAAACCTAACGAAAGTGAGGCCCAGCTACAAGACCTGGACCTGTCGCGCTGCCACTTGGGCGGGAGCGCCGGCACATCGGACGCAAGGGCAGGTGAAAGACTACTATAGGGGCCGAAATAATTACCAATACCATTTTGGGGATTCCTTATAAAAACTACAGTTTAATGGGCCCCAAGACCCTAGGCCCCTATATAAGATGCTTGAAGACTTGATCTTGCTGATACTCACTCCCTCGTGCTCCTGCTGCCGCTACTAGTAAACCTGAAGCTCAACTCCAAACCAAAACTTTCCGAGGTGCGGCGATGGCCGCCGCGCTGCGCTGCAGTGCAGCGGCGGATGTGTCGTTGCAGGAGCTGCACTTGGACCGATCCTTGGATCTTGAGCCTTCAAAGGGTGTACAGAGTAATATTATCATTAACATTCATAACTAGATATAAATATGTGTTGTATTATTAGAATGATTCTTATCTTTATGAGAGGCTTGAGGCTCTGGTTGGATTAGGGCTTGGAGGTTTTAGGATTTCGCTTCGGACCTTCGGCTCATGTCTTTAGGCTTCAGAGCCTGGATTATGGGCGTCCTTGCGATACGAGCCCCCGTAAATCCGATAAAGCTCTTATATGGCTGTCCTAAACCCCACAAGGGTCGAGATTAGTCGAGATTGAGTGCTGGCGGGACAAGCACGCCTCGTCGAGCCTCTAAGCCTAAGCCCTAGACCCTTAAGCCTCAACCTCAACCGCACTGAGGCCACAAATGCGCTATTGTACGGGCCGAACTAATCACCAATACTGTTTTTGGGGTTCCTTAGTATAATCAGAGCATAGTATACCACCAAACCCCATTCTAAGGATTAAGGCTTGCTCCTACACTCCTACAGCAAGAAACCCCTAAACCAACACCCCCAAAGCCCTATTCTAATGATTGGAACTGCTTAAGGGAGCCCCTTATTGGAACCCACTAAGCCCTAAACCCTATAAGGAAGCCCTTCAAGGCATTGTTCCTAAACCCAAAACCCCTATAAACCTTAAACCCTAAACCCCTATAAGCCCAAAAACCCATTCAATGATGGGAATGTTGAATCCGCGGCTCAGACTTTAAAGCTCAGCGCTTTGCTGCTGAGGCAACGCCCTGGGTGCCCAGGGCGTCGTCGCCTTGGCAGAGGCTGTCTTGGCCTGGGCTCCGAGGGTTCCTTTAAAGGGATCTCCAGGGGTTCCTTTAAGGGTTCACTTTAAAGGGATCTATAGGAGTTCCTTAAGGGTTCCAAAGGGGTCTATAAGGGCTATTAGGGGTTTTGGGTTTAGGCGGTTTCCTTTAAAGGGATCTCTAGGGGTTCCAGGGGGTCTTTTGGGTTTCCAGAAGGGCTTCCCTTAAAGGGATCTATATGGGTTCTATAAAGGTTCCTTTAGGGGGGTCTATAAGGGCTTGGGCTCCCTGCAGAAATCTGGGGTTTAAGGGTTTAGGGATTAGAGTGCAGAAATTTGTTTTTCGGCGTTCCGTAAGGGTTTCTTTAAAGGGGTGTAAGGGGTGTAGACGGGCTACTACAGGGGCTATTAGAAGGATTTAGTACAGGGGCGTAAATAATTATCTATACAATTTCTTTTGGGGGTTCCTTGTTATAGTTATACGACAACGGGCCCCAAAACCCTATTCTAATTGTTACGGCCCTTACATTATACCGAGTGTTAATTGTAGTAGTAGTTATAGTAGTTAATAGGTGTTACTTAGGAGCCACGGCTGCAAGAGCAATGTGGCGAACTTAGAAAAAAAACAGAAAACGGCATTCGTAATAATGAGAGTAGGAAGAATAGTAAGAATAGTAATGGTACAGTAATGGTAACAGTACGAGAAGAGTAAGAGTAGTAGCAATGGTACTCATCATAATCGTTTTCGTAAAGTCATTATCATAATGTCACATTTCGATTATGCTGTTTAAAACAAAAACCTTGATCCCACGATAACAGGTATTGGTTCGCACAAGCTTTTGCTGCAGTCTGTATGCGTAGTAGATGTGCAAGAATATCCACGAGAACGCGACATGGGTGAGGTTGAGTTTTCGGGTTCAGTGCTTAAGGCCCACAGTATTCTTTCGGGTTGGAGGACATGATGGCCAAGGCTCAAGGTTTCGGGTTCATGCCCGAAGCCCGAAACCCTGAACCTTAAACCCTAACCCGTGTAGTCAGGCCTTTATGTGGCTAAGGGGGCTTGACTCTTTCTCCGCGCAGAAGTTACATATGGCTTATCATAGAGCTCATAGAGTTTATACAATTTCCTTGGGGTGTATGGGGTTGCAGAGTTCGCCAGGCTTTTCAGGAGTTTGTCGGGTTTCAGGGTTGACAGGGTTGATGGGATTTAGCCCACAGGGCAGCAACAAGAGTATTCCATGTCAATAGCAGGTATAGTGACAGTCAAATCAGGATACGAGCAGCGGTTCTGATCAACACTGAAAGGATAGAGCGAGCAAGTCCGACAGTACCAAGCCTCGTGCCCTGACAGATGGGGTGATCCTGAGTGTAGCAGATTCATGGTGCAGGGGGTCGGGCTAGGCTCAGGTGGTTTTCTAATCCAATCGGGGCAGTCAACCCGCCCGACAACCCAACCCTACTTGGAGGTTCATGGGTAGTTCTAAGTGGGGGTTATAAGGCCCCTATGTGGGTTATAAGTATAGTTACCCTACTTATAACTACCCATGAACCTCCAAGTAGGAAGACGTTTGTTGCTTAGGGACACAGGCTTCGGCTGCGGACTTCAAGCGAACGTACTGTTGACTCTTGAAGCCCTGTATCTCAGGCTCTGCATCACTCTGATGTTGGTCCCCTTTAGCTAGTGTACACCATGAAGTCATCTCAACACTCATACCCTTGCCAAAGTTGAGCGGAGCTTCGGTTTGCGTGGTTGTGCTGGTGCCAGTTCAGGTGCCCAGCATAAGTTGGAGTTGGGTAGAGCAAGGAGTCTGAAGAGTACACCCTCTAGCCCCTGAAACGCCATGAAACCGTAAACCCAAAGCCTTCTAGCACTAAAACCCAAACCTTAAACCCTACTTGGAGGTTCATGGGTAGTTATAAGTAGGTTTAGAAGTAGGGTAGCTAGACTCATAACCCATAAAGTGGTCAAGCTTTTCTCGAGAGGCCCTCGGAGCGGGCTGCCAACTCAGGGCCTTGACCCTCCGCGACAATCGCTGCTTGACGACGGGTTACAGGAATTCGGAGCGATTGGTGTTTAGGCCTTTGTTGGCGGGGCTGGGCTCGGGTTTTTTCAGGGCCCTTTGAGAGACTCTTGATGCAATGAAGGTCCCCTAGCTTTGGCGGGCCTCTGATCCTGTGCGGTCTTCTGCTCGCTTCTCGGGTCCCTCTGTCCCCTGGTGCACGTCACAACGTGGATGATGATTCTGATGAAGAAGAAGATGAAGTTCAAGATGCATAATAGTCAGAGAGTGATGGTGGTCACTGCGACGACGGCGAGGATGATGAGGAGGACGATGATGATGATGGCGATGATTATGATCCAGTTTTCGCCAGATGGCAAGAGCAAGCGGAGCAAAAGCCACACACGTCTGGCCAATGACAGTCTCCTGATACATCTGTGGGTGTCGCTAGTGGAGAAGACGAAGTTTAGCACGGCGACGGCTACCCTAAACCCTAAAACCCTAAACCCATGACGATGCCTTGGGGGTGAATTGCAATACGGTAATGATTACGGTGACGGCACTGATGATGCTGCACCACGGAAACATCGCTGCCACACCCAAAAGAAAAAGGCCACTGCATGTCGGGGAAGCAACAGCCCACCGCACAGGAACAATACAACAGGCCTCCTAAAGGGAACTCCAGAAAGTTGGAATATGAAATAATGGCAGGATCCCCTGTAATTTACCTTAAATTGATTATGATAATGATATTCCAACTTTCAGGCCTCCTAGGGAGTCGCGACACCGACGCCCATGCCATTGGATGGATCATGCGGAGAACACACGCAGATCCCAGACCGGGAGCCTGCAAATAAAGGATCCTAGGGCCAAACGAGAAACGGTTTAGGGTTTGGGGCTTAGAGGGTTTTAGGGGTATTTGGTTCAGGGTTTAGGGTGCTGCCCTTGAAGTGCCTGAAGGTTGTGAAGACACTGGCGCTGGCGCGATCGCAGAGGCGCTGCTGGCCATGATGAGCATTGGGGGGCTTTGGGTTGATTGTGTATGAAGGTGCCGGGAAATACGAAATTCTGCATGATTAGTAGGAGCATTCCCTGGTCGTCCCTCTAATATTATGCTATAACCATATCCCAAAGCACCCTTCTGGGTCTCCTAAACCCTAAATCCTGAACCCCTAACCCTAACCCCTAAACCCCTAAACCCTAAAGTGCCTCTGGGTCTTCTTGGACCCTTCGTCTCGAACTCGTAGTTGAGGCGATTGGGACCGTGTTGTTTAGGGCAGGGTTTCGGGTTCAGGGTTTACGGGTTGAGAAAGCCTCAAGCCCAAGAGCCCGAAACCCCAAACCCTAAACCCCAAACCCTAAACCCTAAACCCCTAAACCCCAAAGAGCCCTAAACCCTAAACCCTAAGCTCCTAAACCCATAGACCCTAAAGAGCCCTAAACCCTAAACCCTAAGCTCCTAAACCCTGAAACCCTAAAGAGCCCTAAACCCTAAACCCTAAGCTCCTAAACCCTGAAACCCTAAAGAGCCCTAAACCCTAAACCCTAAGCTCCTAAACCCTGAAACCCCAAAGAGCCCTAAACCCTCGACCCGCAGCCTGACGCCTTCACCGCGTCAACATGAAAGCCCAAACCCTGGCGTCCCGGAGGATGATGTCCCTGGCGGTAGTAGTAGTAGTAGTAGTAGTAGTAGTAGTAGTAGTAGTAGTAGTAGTAGTAGTAGTAGTAGTAGTAGGAGCAGCAGCAGGAGGAGGAGTAGTAGTAGTAGTAAGTAGCCTTAAACTGGGTTCCTGCTAAGGAATCTACTCTAAGTTACCATAATCGGGATCTATGGTAAATACTATGGTTTCCTGATTATGGTAACTTAAATTAAGTTCCTAAACCCTTCGAGAACTCTTATAGATCCCTTAAAGGAACCCGAATAGATCCTTATGATGGTAGCTTAAACTAACTCCCTTTAACAAGAACCCTAGAAAACACCCTAAACCCTAAACCCTACCCTCAACCCTGAACTCCAGGCACTGGGCCGCAATCGGTCTCTAAAAGAGCTCGACCTTGCCGGCAACGAGGCCGGGGGGGGGGGGGGGGCCGGCTGAGGCTTGCCGCGAGGCTTTGGGGCCTTGGGGCCTTGGGAGATTTAGGAGTTTAGGGTTTCGGGTTCAGGTGTTTAGGGTTTAGGTTTTAGGGTTTCGGGTTCAGGGGTCGAGGTTTCTGGTTTCTTTCTTCCTGCAGCCTGAAGGAAGCGCAGGCCTAAAGGAACGGGGGGCCCTTCGTTCGTGTTTATTATCACCCCACCACGTTCTCTTACAGCAGCTGAAGTCGTCCACGAGGCCCGCTGCACAAACCTCGTGTTTGTGCCCTCCTGACCTGGAAATCCGCTGCTTAACACCCCGCACCTGTTTTTTGCGTCCCCCCGACCCCGCCTTTTTTCAACCCACACTTCAACAATCCCCCAGCTGCTGCTTGCGCACTACACATGCAGACTGTCGGTGCCCGAGACATTGCCGCTTGCAGCGAGAACCCGGCTTTGTTTGGGTTGAGGGTGTAAGACCTGCAAACCAAAAGCCCTAAACCGGAAGCCTAAACGCGAAACCCTAAACCCTAAACCCTAAACCCCTAAACCCCTAAACCCCTAAACCCCTAAACCCCTAAAGAGCCCTAAGCCCTAAACCTAAGCTCCTAAACCTTTAAACCCTAAAGAGCCCTAAACCCTAAACTCATAAACCCTAACCCGAAACCCATCAGATCCACGACGCCGGTGGGCAAAGTTTGGGTTTGGCGCTGGCATCTTCACCCGGTCCCAGGCTTGTGTGCCTTGGCGCTCAGACTGATGCCGACGTGGTTTAGGGTTTCGGGTTTTGGGGGTTGGGGTTTAGGGTTTAGGGTTTAGGGTTTTGGGGGTTGGGGTTTAGGGTTTAGGGTTTAGCGTTTAGGGTTTCGGGTTTTGGGGGTTGGGTTGAGTGGTTGAGCCTTTATTGCAGATGCTTTGTCTGGGATCTGAGATTGTTCGATACTTTGCGGCTCTGGAAGGCTTGGGCGTTGATGACATGGAGTGGGGAGAGGCTCGTGATCTCTCTTTGTCTGATGATGAAGACTATGCTTGCGTCGTATGCCTATCACTGCTTCCATCTCTCCATCGCGGATCCTGGATCCCACGCCCTACATCAAGAGGCAGGCAGATCAGGCCCTTCAGCTCCTCCCACCGACAAGGGAGGATCACAAGCTACCCCAATGGAGTCGTCGGAGGTGATTCTGAAAGAGCCCTGTTCTAGCTTCTAGGATCCCACCCCAGACCGGAAACGCTGACAATGAGCCCTAAACCCTATAAGCCCGAAGCCCTGTACCCTACACCCTGAAACCTGAGCCCAACGTCCTACTCGGAGGTTCATGGGTAATTATAAGTGGGGTTATAAGTCCCCTAATATGGGTTATTAGTGTAGTTACCCTACTTATAACCCTATATACTTATAACTACCCATGAGCCCATGAGCCCTAAACCCTAGTCCCTAGACCCCATAACCCTATAGATCCCTTTAAAGGAACCCTACTTATAACTCTACTTGTAACTACCCATGGACCTCCAAGTAACCCCCCAACAAGCCGAAACCCTTCATCCTTCTCGGACTCGCCCCGCCGTGAATTGCACCTCGAGGTACTTGGGCTTGAAAAGCAACAGGATTGGTGGAGACCTCAGGCTGGATATACTTTACAGTTTAGTCTTAGATAGTACAATACAACACACAATAGTACATAATATAGCACAGTATATAATATGTTGCAACATAATATAATTGAGCACAATCCATATCAATTGACAGTAGATGCTATGGCAGTTCACATGATCGTGCAAACTAGTACACTATACTATAACAGAACGTAGTATGTCATAAGATAATAACATAGTCCAGTGTTAAAGTGAAATAGAACACAATATACTATTGTAAGGCATAATATGTAATATATAAGACATACTGTACACTTCAAGACATTATACTAGACTATGTTGTTGCTTTAACTAACATACTATATACTGTATCTCAATGCACAACAGAATAAAGGCGTTTCTACATATATATATATATACATATACACAAACATTTGTATACGTATGGTAAAGTTTAATATGCTATAGGACAAGGGAAGACCGTTCAAGATGTTATATGTTAAATGATAGAATACTTGCTATGACATAGAGTGTTGTGTGCAATACTGATAACCATGACATTCTGTAAATACTGTAGCAAAGAGTATATCGTATATAGTATAAAAGCACATACAGGTGTGTATATAGGTGTATGTACATAGATAGGAAGCAACTAAATATCTGCGTGTATATATATATATATATACATATAGAAATAAGTATAGCGTAGTATGGTTTAATGTGCAATGTATAATGTTACAGCATTGCATAACAGAGCGCAGCATAACATAGCGTAGTACAGTATACTCCGATAAGGTACAGTACATATATAGTACAGTATAGTATGGCGTAGTGTAGTGTAGTGTTGTCTAGTATAGTAAGAGTCAAGAAGTTGAGGGGCTTGGAGGTTAAGGGTTCAGGGGCTGAAAAAACAGAGGTCAGTTTGCACTTGGCGTTTACGGCTTTCAATGTTTTGTTCTTTTTTGGTGGTTTTGGGGCATATCTATTACCTGTTAAGCTTCAACGCCTTATGGCCAGCAGTATGACCAGGAAATTGCTGATGGCGGTTATCGCTCCTTCGTCCTCGTCTTTCTGTTGGTAGTCTTGTTCTAGTTTTTCGTCTTTGCCGCTGCTCGGGTATGTTGGGATCTAGCACCGCCTATTGTCGGTGAAATTGGTAATAAGGTGATTATGGTGACGATCATGGGACGATGGGTGGTCGATGATGCATGATGAGGAGCACATAGGAGCACTATCACAGGATTCGGATCATGACGATGGACGCCACTGCTGCCGCTGCTCTGATGCGGATGCTGACGAAGATAATGGGGCTGCTGAAGATCATGATGCGAAAACGATCCTGGTCATGGTGATGCCGGTGCTGATTGCGATGGTGATGACGACTACGAAGACACGGAGGTTGTGCATGATGATCACAACAAACCCCCGTTCAAGAAACCCATGCCTTCGTGCCAAGGTGACACAGGACAGGGTTGTGGGGCTGGGGCGATACGTTCAGAGTTGCTCTGCCTTTCGTAGATGTTGGCGGTGACGGATCGCCTGGCGTTCTGCCTAGTAAGGGCTGGTTTGTACCAAACGCCCGGAAAACTTTTAACCACAGAAACCCTAAACCCTAAACCCTCATAAGGCCCTACGCATGACCCTAAACCCTAGCCCCTAAGCGGCAGGGTCACAGAACAGGAATGCAGTTCCCATACTGGCTGGAAGTTACAACAACAAAGACACCCTGAGCTATGGAAGCCGGACCACACCACAAGGAACCCACATCACAAATACGTACTCATAGCGAAGGATTTGCGGAAATCGTCTTTTGAGATGGCGCCAAAGCGCGCACGCAGTTCGCCCGCAGGGCCTCCCTAAAAAAAGCGGCAGCTCGCTATCGCCGACCCGTCCACCGAGGATGCTGTTCTCGCAGGGCTCAGGCGAAGTTTTTGGAGGTAATGTGGGGTCCTTAATAATTGATTAGATTAGGGCTTTGGGGTACCTTATTGTAGTTAGAGTCCAGTATGTCCCCAAACCCTATTCTAATCATAATTTTGGGTACCTTATTATGGTTAGAGTATAATATGCCTCCAAACCCTATTCTGATCATCAAGGCCCCTACAGTAGCGGGGATCACCAGATCCCTCAAATCGAACCTCCGAAGGAGCCGAAGGCTTGGCCGCGGCGCTTGAGAAGAGCGCCTGGCTGGAGGCTTGTTTTGGGTTCGTGTTTAAGGGATATAATGGAAGTTACCATAATAGGGATCTACAGCAAATAGTATGGTCTCCTTATTATGGTATAACTTAAGTTAGATCCTTTCACAACGTTAACAAGAACCACTTTCCGGCCTCTGCTTTGGTCTCGTGGTTTAGGGGGGAGCCAATGAGACCAGACGTGTGGCTTCGAAAGCTGCCGAGCCGGTGCCATTTGTCAAGGATCTCCCATACCCACCAGGACACTGAAAGGACCCTGTGCCTGAAAGCAGCCGATCCTATGGAAACCCTCGGGGTTAGGGTTTGGGGTTTACGGTGTGTGGGTTTAGGACGGTTGAGGGTTTTAGGGTTGAGGGTTAAGGGGTGTTGGGTTTTGGGTCCAAGCTTTTCCTGCAACATGCAGGACGTTTGTGGTGAAAGGCGACAATGAACATGGGTGGTAAGTACAAAGAACTCCTGGTCCTGCGAGAAACCTGCAAGCCCGGGATGACCCCGCTGCGGCATTCCCAGGGTGTCACCCGTGGTAACCAGACAGGCCGTGTGAAAGCATTCTTCCGCACTACTTGTGCAGACAACCTCACGAAATGGACTCCAAAAGCGGAGACACGATATCCTGTCGGTATCATGGCCGATTTGTCACTCCACTCTAGTGCTCACACAACAATCAGGAAGCAGAAACCAAACCCAGGCCAACACGAAGAGCAGAACGCGGCGCACCCGACTCGGCACAAGAAGATGAAAGAAGAAGCAGAACTCCAAGACGAACCGGCCGCGCCAAGTCAAGATGAGGACAACACCGACGAGAGCTCCAAGCAAGTCGTCGACCAGAAGCCAGTGCAGGAAAGAAGCATGGAAAGGGTCAGCAACGGGATCAAAAAGTTAGAGGTCCTCAAGCAGGGGTTTATGGATGGGTTTTCAGGACGGTTTGGGAGGTTTCAGGGTTTAGGGAAAAATCAAAGGCTTCGGGTTGAGGGCTTGGAGTTTTTCCAGTTTCGAAGCTGTTAGGTCTGATTGTTTAGTTGGGTTTCAGGGGTGTAGAGATGTACCGTAGATCTTTTGTCTTTCGGGCATTGCGGGTTGTCCGCACTTAGAGGATCATGGGACTTAGTAACTAGGGTTATGATTAGGGTAACTATACTTATGGCTACTTATAACCCCAATCAAGGTACTTATAACCCTACTTACTAAGTCCCATGATCCTTCAAGCAGGTCTAGGCACTAGAGGCCTGAGGCCGATAGTTACTTCTTCGGATTTGGTTCCAGGCCTTAGGATGCCGTAGGGCTGTAGAGCTTCAGGGCGTCATAGGGCTTTGGGCTAAGGGTTTTCGGAGGTCACTTAAACCATAAATAAGACCTTTAAACCCCAAACCCCTATACGTGGCCCATGGATGAGGACGTTGGACTTTTGAGGGCAAACGATTCAGAGCTTGGCATGCGGTAGCTGGTGATCTGGATACATGAAGCCTCCTATCTGGGTTGTCGCGCCTCGCAAACCTTAGTTATCAAAGGCGTACCGCGTACCAAGTCTCTTGATCCTTCTCCAAGTGGGGATTTCCGAAAATAGGGGACCCTAAACCCTAAATAGTAGGATCCTGATTAAAATGATCCCAAAATAAGGTTCCCCTAATTGTCGGAAACTCCCAAGTGGGAGTTTGGAAGTTCAAGCTCTCAGCTGCAGGAGCGGAGCCAATTTCCAAATCCGCAAACCATGAAACTCTCGGTGCGCGCAGTTCACGCAGCAGAGAGCCACAAGAACCCCTCCAACCTGGCCTTGCCAGCCGATCCAAGCTTGCCCTTCCGGAGGTTCATGGTAGTTATTTGTAGGGTTCCTTTAAAGGGATCTATAGGGTTATCGGGTTTAGGGATTAGGGTTTAGGGTAGTTATAAGTGGGGTTATAAGTCCCCCAATATGGGTTGTACGTATAGTTATACCCCTACTTATAACCACGGTTTAGGGTTTAGGGTTTAGGGTTGAGGGTTTAGGGTTTAGGGGTTTAGGTGAACCTCCAAGTTCAGCAAGAAGCTATGTCTACATCCGCCTGCGCCTGAGCCCCATCACGAGTTCGAACTTCCAAGGAAGCTTCCTTTGCCTAAACACGACACCATCGGTAAGCCCTAATGCTCACCCTAAACCCTAAACCCTAAACCCTAAACCCTACAGCAAGGAAGCCCCGAACCCTGATTCCTAAACTTCTCAAGTTGACTCTTAGAGTGCATGGAGCCGAGGAGCAAGAGCATCTTTTTGGCGTAAGGAATTAGAGGATCATGGGACTTAGTAACTGGGGTTATGATTAGTGTAACTATACTTATAGCTACTTATAACCCCAATTAAGGTGCTTATAACCCTACTTACTAAGTCCCATGATCCTTCAAGCATGACACACCGTAACAGATGGCCAAGTGCTAAAAAGCGCCGGGAGGAATTGGACCTCAGCAACAACTCCATTGGTATGGTAGGTTCTGCCGGCAGGGATGGCGAAATGGGCTGGGGCTATTTCGTGGTTTCATCTTATGACAGACCTCCGTACTATCGGAATTTGGGTGGTGTGCAGATCCTATTCCATGTCGACTGTGCTCTTTCCGTAGCACGCTGCAGCCGCCGATGTCAGAAGGGGTGCATGCGCACTCATGTAAAGATGTCAGAGCAACATGAGGGGCTTTACAATACGGTCGCAGGTGTCAGCAAGCTCTGCAAAGCCTTAGAGGGCAACACTTCGCTCTGGTCCTTGCCGCTGGAGGGAAACGAGGCGGGAAGAGTCGTTTTCCGAGACCTGTCCGTGGCTTCGGTAAGGTCCCGCAAAGCTCCGAGACTCAATACCCAGGCCGAGAAACCCTGAACCTGCAACCTTGAGAAGTGCTTCGGGGAGCATGTGGGTTTATCTTGGGATTGCCATTCTGACAGATTGCGGAGTGGGAGCACGCTGTAGAGGTGTGCTTTGAGAGGTAGCTTGATTCTCGTTCGGGTAGTTCAGCTCGAGATATATGGTTGCGATAGCACCTGCAAATCTATCAAAATGTGGTAGCAACTGTCATAGAATGCATATAGTGACTCTACGACGCGAACGATACCAGCCGTCTTCCGTATTTACGAAGGGAACACGGCAGTCCCAAAGTAAGAACTGAGCAGCTTCGGTGTGCCCTGAGTGACGGGCAGTCCTTAGAAAGCCCACCCGAAAAGGACGAAACAGCAAACAAAGCCCCGAAGCCTCCCTGAGGATGTGCACCTCTGCTTAATCTTATCTAGGTAGGGCTTTGGAACATTTTATGTCTGCCCTTATCGGGCTTAAGAGGATCTTACGTACTAGTATTTTTCAACGGCTTTAAATGCACCTCCTAGTTATAATCTCAGTTTTGACAAGGCCTCGTCAGTCGGGTTTCAAGTTGCAAAATGCACAGTTTCTTGAGTTGGAAATTTATCCCTCACTCTCTTGTTTCAACGCTAAGAAGTGCCGTCGCTGTAGTTTGTTGCAGACCGGTTGTTGCCTACCTTCGGGAGTTGGGACGTCCGGGAGTGGAAGCAAGGTACCTGTTAGAAGATCTTCAACTCCCAACCTTAACGTCAAGGCTAGTTTAGGCCTAAACCCTGCAAAAACCAAATCCCTAAATCCTGAAGCCTTACAACAAAATACCCTAACAAACCCTAACCACAACAACTGAAGCCTCAAATTCTGTACCTGTATGCCATTGGAATCATCACCAGGTAGGCCTTTGGGCTAACTTATGTTTTCCCTTATTGGGCTTAATAGGACCCCATTTACGAATAATTTTCAGAGGCTTTAAACGGCCAACCTAGATCATAGGAAGATCTCAGCTCTGTTTGTCCGAAGGCCGAAGATGAGGTCATCACTGGGGTGGAGGCCAGAATTCTACCAGAACCGAAACACAAAAGCCACAAGAGTCTTCCTGAAGTAAAACTCTAGACCCTTAATCCTAAATCCTATGATGATAATGCTGTTGACTAGAGGTTTGGGGCTTAGGGTGTAAAGTTTTGGGCCTATAGGGTTTGAAGTTTGGGGTGTCGGGACTTTGCCCCACCTGCTGATCCTGATTACAAGGACCCCTAAAAGAAGGTACCCTAGTTTCGGAAATTCCCGTATCCCTTATCAAGGAATCTTGAATAGTGAGCAGTGTTTCAGTTCAGAGCGGGATCGGGGTCTCTTGGCGCAAGCCTCGAAAGGCCCTTGCTGCGGATGTCGCCGGGCGCCGCGAGAGGCGCCCGGCACTTCCGGTTTGAGGTTTCAAGGCTTCGTAGTGTTTTGTATGCCATATGCATCATAGTATAATCGGCCACAATACAATATGGGAGTTTCCGAAAATAGGGGACTCTAATATAGTATCCCAAATAGTAGGATCCTTGTAATAAGGACCCTCCCCGAATTACTAATTGTCGGAAACTCCCATATGACAACGCAACACATGGCTTTGGCGCCTTTAGTCTTCGAGTTTGCAAGAGTTGTAGTCAGACGCTGCCGTTTCTCCATGCTTCCAAGACAGCCTAGCTGTGTGGCACTGAGTTCGATTTCTGCATCCTCTCCAGCCCTACAGCCAGAACTTTGAAGAATCTCAACTATTGATATGTTCTGATGCAACCATCGATACCGTAAACCCTAAACCATGTGGGCCCTCCGCTGCTCCTCAGGCAGCCCCCGAAGCCGCGCTTCGCATTCTCGGAACCGCTGCCTGCCGAAGACGCCGAGGATGCCGTCAGCGAGACAAGCTCTGAGGCCAGAGCTTGATCATTCCAAACACACACACACACACACACACGCAATATATATATATATATATATATGTGTGTATACATATATATATATATACACACACATACATATACATATACACATACACACTCATATATACATATATATATATACACAAATAGAATGTATTGTAGGGTATTGTGTTCTGTTCTATTATATTCTGTTCGATTCTGCTCTATTCTGTTTCTGATATGCAAAAACATGGGTGCACACACAGTTAGATGCATCGATGGATCGACAGATAGAATCCTAGATAGGTTCATAGATGTATGCGATGTATATACAGACAGATGATTGCAAAAAGTAGAAAGATCGGCCTGTGATGTTTGTGTGTGTGTGTGTGCATAGGCAGCTTGCGTGCATCCATCCATCCATCCGTCCGTCCATCCACCCGCCCACCCACCCAGCCATCCACCCATCCACACATCCACCCATCCACCCGTCCACCCATCCGCATCCATCCGTTCCCATTTTCATAGCTGCTATCTACTGTACAGGGCAGTCCGCCGCAGCCTAAGGTGTCGCCTGGCTCTTCGTGTCACCTCTTCCGGGCAGTTGTTAAATGTTTCCTTCCCTGTGCTACGCTGCTACATGTTCCATGCAAGCAATCCGCTGTGCAGGGTGGGCGGATTCTGCCTCCTTTTGATGGTTGTGGGGCGATATAAAAACCAAGGCATCCAGCCACATCCTCTAGTCATTGATCAAACTTCCTTCAACTACGATACTAAGGACCAAGACACAACAAACCAGATGAGATCCGTGATTTGGATACACGCCCTCTGAAAATTTAAACCTTTAAACCCTAAGCCCTAAGCCTTTCATGATCCTTGGAAAATGCAAAGCTCCAAGCCCTAAGCCTTAAAACCCTAACCTCTAAACCCTGAGCCCGAAACCCCCAAAACCTAAACCTGTCAACCCTGAGCCCTGAAACCTTAAACACCCTAAACCTCCAAACCCTAAGCCTCCGAACCCTAAGCCCCAAACCCTGAACCCTAAAACCAGGCTGTTCAGTGGTACACTTTTTTACTTTCGGGTTTCTGGGTTCCCATTATGAAATACGAAGCCTTTTTTTCGCAGTGGGTTATTGAACAGGTTAGAAAAACGAACCCTAAAAGAGCCTTAAACGAACCCTAAAAGAACCCCCAAAAAACCCTAGAAGAACCCTTAAAAAAGAACCCCAAAAGAACCCTGAAAAAGAACCCTAAAGCCCAGGCCAGCAGCCCCGCGAGTTCGGCCTCCCAGGTATCGTCGCCCTCCCGTCCAGCGCAGCCTGCCGCCATGCCTGTGCCGAGGCCAGTCATTGCGTATGTGGGAGTCTCCTGAATTAAAGGGATCTATAAGGGTTCCTTAAAGGGATCCATAAGGGTTCCTTCAAGGGATCTATAGGGTTTGGGAGTTTCCGAAAATTAGGGTACCTCATTTTGGGGTCCTTATAATAAGGATCCTACTATATAGGGTACTATATGAGGGTCCCCTGTTGTCGGAAACTCCCATGTCTATGTAAATATGAAGAAGTAAAATGTAAATGCAAATGTAAGTATGAATCTTGAATATATAAATACAAAGATCTGTATATACATATACATATGTGTATATATATATATATATGTTTATACATGTATATACATGTATATACATGTATATGCATATATGTATACAATGTCTGTGCACATACACACACACACACAGAGGTACACAATATGCATACATGTGACCGGAATTGCTAGTATAGGCTTTCAAGAATTAGAGCATGGTTTTGGGGTAGGTTATGGTGATCAAACAGATGCGTGAAGATATGGTTTATGTAGAGATAGAGTGCAACTGCCGTGCAGGAGAAACCTCCAGAAAATATGCGCACATAAACTACAAACCCTTAACTTCATTCCTTCAACCCTGTACCATGGCTCCTGAGGATTTGGTAATACGAATTTGTAAGAGTTTCCCATCATGAGTCTAGTATATCCTCCTCCCAAATCCTACAGGCCCCTGTATTGCCCCAACTCCTTCTGCTATGATCCCAACTCAACGCGCTGTCGAGGGCTTGTTGGCCTAGTGGTAGAGTAGGTAACCTTTAGCCTGTTTTGGGGTAGTATAGTCCCTATATAATCCTTATATACCCAAAAAGGTTAACCTTCAGTTCCCCATGATACCCGACGAGTAAACCCTAAACCCTAAACCGTCACAGGCCGGAGGAGTCGACTTCGACGAAGGTCTCCCCGGCGTGCACGATTCGGGCGTGTGGGGAACTTCCGCAGAGTGAGCCTGTAGTATCGGGCGGTGGGGTCTGTGGGGGAATGTGGGGTTGAGGGTTTACGGTTTAGGGGATTGGGGTTTAGAGTTTAGGGCTTAGGGGTTTAGGGTTTAGGGGGACTCTTTGGGTTAGAGTCCTGGGATCTTGGAGATGCAGGATGGACCAGCGGAGGGTCTGCGTTTTTAGATAAATCCCAGTGCCTCCGTCCTGACGGGAGCCTGGGGTACAGCGCCACAGCAAACTTGACAGTCAGCCTACTGAAGCCTTTTCGGCGTTCCAGGCCAGAGAAGCTTGGCAAGGCCAAGATCCTCGGCTTTTTTGGCAATAACAGTAGTCGCGGCAGCATCAACAGCAGGAGGAGGAGCAGCAGCAGAATGGTAGTGGTAGTCACAGGAATAGTCAGTGCAAGCTAGGCAGAAGCAGTCAGAGCACCAATCGCCATGTACAATGTGCATATGTTTTTGCCATAAACAGAACTCCCACCACGTCCGGTTCTGATGATATAAACTTTGCAGGCCCCGAAACAACCCTGCCTTTCCCATCCGACTTTATCAGTACTCAGGCCGTTGTCAGCCTTCAAGGAACACTTCAACCAAATTTGAAAGCACGGAACCGTAACGCCCTAAACATCCCTTGCATGTATTTTCGAGGAGGAGAGTGCGGAAGACATGGTGCAGCTCGTTGACAACTTCGTCCAACGCTCCTGGCATGCGACAAGGGCGTTCGGGTATAGGATTCAGGGGTTTCAGGTCAGTATCGAGGCATGTAGATTTGGGTAATGTCAGGTATAGTATCTCCGGTTTCGCGTTTCGCATTTGGCGGGTTTATGGCGGGTTTATGGCTTAAGGCTTGACGGTGTTAAGACATTTCAGAGCTTCTCAGGTGCTGGGAGTTTCCAAAAATGGGGGACCTTCCTATAATACTCTAAATAGTAGGATCCTTATTATGAGACCCCAATATCAGGACTCCTAATTTTCGGAAACTCCCATATCACACCAGACAAAAGCACCGAAGCTTCAACCCACCAGAGAGCCGAAGTTTGAAGCCTTCGGCCTCTCAGACGCTGAACATCGTAGGGCACGGGCCCTTGAACTCGAAAAAAGGGGCCTTAATAATGACCTAAACTAAACCCTTTTTTGGGAGGTTCCGTATTTCAATTATAGTACTCTACTTGGAGGTTCCTGGGTAGTTATAAGTGGGGTTATAATGTGGGTTCTAAGTATAGTTACCCTACTTATAACCCTACTTATCACTACCCATGAACCTCCAAGTAGGCCCTTCACGATCAACCCTGGGCCGACTTTGCAAGACCCGAAACCTCCACCGTTGTTCGCCCAATCGGCAGGGCTTTACCGTAAACTGCACATAGCTGGAGGTTATAAACCTTGAACCCTCACTAAATCCTAAAGCAAAATAACCTAATGCCCTGAATTACTAAGCCCTAAACCCTCACGAAACCTAAAACCCAAAACCAAATACCCTCAACTACGAAGCCCCCAAATCCTAAACCCCTTAGATCCCTTTAAAGAAACCCTTTAGGGATCCCTGAAATAACCTAAACCACTAGAAGCCCCAAACAAAGCCCCCCCAGGTTTCCTCCAACCCGGGCAAAAGGCGAGTGAGCTCGAGGCCCGGAAAGAAGGGGAAGCTTGGGAGTACCATACTTTAAGACTTTTTTCTTAAAGGAACCGTTGTGAAATACAAGGTTTATACTTTTTTCTTAAAGGAGCCGTTATGAAGTTACAAGCCTTATACTTTTTTCAAAGGAACCGTTATGAAGTACAAGGTTCATACTTTTGTCTTAAAGGAACCATTATGAAATACAAGGTTTATACATTTTTCTCCCTGGTTACTAAAAGCCCAGGAAGGGGAGGGGAGTCGGAGGGTAGTTTTGGTTCAGAGGGTTTAACGTGTCTGGGATTTGAGGTTTAAGGTAAAGGGTCTAAACCTTAAGGGTTTAATGAGTTTAAGATTTCAGGTTTAAGGTTTGGGGTTTAAGGATGTTTAAGGTTTATAGGGTTTAGGATTTAGGGGAGGTATTTTTAGAGCTTCAATGCTGGCTTTACTGTGGGTTGGCTTGGAGTCTACTGGCGGTTCGAGGTTCGGAGGACTTCAGAGTAGTCGGAGGTTCTTTCAATGTGTTTGTACACAATTCTGGAAGCAAAGCGGGAAGTATCAAGAGTACGACGCCTTAAACCCTAAACCCCAAAACCCCGAAACCCCTTAACATTGAACCCCCTAAACCCATAGACACTAAGCCCCAAACCCCCAGAAGCAGGACGGAGTTGGCCGACGCTGCCAGGGTGCAGCGTCTGCAGTCGAGCCGGGCACAGCCTACGAGGCTTTCGAAGGGCGACAGAAGGTTGCCGATTAGTGCAGGGTTTAAGCTTTAGGGTTTAGCAGTTATGATGGAGTCGTATTCATTGAGCAAAGAAAGGGCGTTCACGTTTCAGACGCGGAAGCTTACAGAGTTTCTCCTGCGCATAAAGCTAGGGCAAGAAGAAGCACCGCAGTCCGTTATTCAGGGAGCTTCTTGAGGCAGTGGAGGAATGTCAGCTACCTAAGATCTGGGTTTGCAGTTCCTCTGCTGCTCGCAACTGAAAGGTTGACTGATACACCCCAAAACCACCTCTAGACCCTAAACCCCACACCCACATCCTACAAGGCAGGAGGAAAAGAGGGTTCAACAAAACAATTCACAATCCTAAAGCCACCTCCTCTCCGTTCCCCAACCTCCCCGGTGCCAGGTTGGGTCGCACCTGCGTGGCTTGCCGAGTGTGGAGAGTCCCTCACCCAACATGGGAGAGCTGGGGGGGGGGGCTTCCATGCTTCCTGCAAAGGTTGATGATATAAATCCTGCAGTACCTGCAATAAGGAGTATACCATGATTCCCATAGTTTAGGGTTCTTAAGGTAATGCAGGATTTATATCATCAATCGTTGGACTATCATCGTCGGTATCAGTTTTCCTGTTAGTATCAAAGTAGCATCTCTAGTTTTTCTCCTTGTCGTCAGTACCACTTTGTTGATGTCATGAGTCATGATTGCCTCGTGACTCTCGCGTTTGCCATTGCGATGTCTTGCCAGTCATGGTTTGATGGTGACGAAGATGGCGATGGCGACGCTGACGGTCAAGCATACGACCAGTTCGTAGTTACATCACCGCAACCGCTGCCGCAGCCCCCCACCAGCGCCACCACCACCACCACCACCACCACCACCACCACCACCACCACCACCACCACCACCACCACCAGGGGAAGCCGCGAAGGAATGCACAGGAATACTGCTTGCACGAGTCCTGGTCGTACCTGCAGTATTGGCATCATGACGGGTGGTGGTCGAATTTAGTGCTCCTCCAGCATACACAAGCACTGAGGGGACCTGGCTGGCTGACTTGCGCAGGCGAACTCCAATCCGGCGGGCATCGCCCAAGCACCGCGCAGAGGCATTAAGCAACAGCCGGCCTTTAGTAGGGCCCCAAAAAAGCACATAAGCAAAAATTAGGATAGGGATATCTCATATAAAGCCCCTTACAAGGAAGGCCAATAAGGTAGGGATATCCCTCTAAAATGCTTATGCTTATGTGCTTTTTGGGGTCCCTATTTAGTGCGGTGCTGCAACAGGGAAAGGTGTCATGTGACAGACTTCGTGGTTACCATATGGTGCTGGGCTTCATGCCCCCTGCACACGTTGACCGCCGAAGTGGTTCGGATCAAGTCACGAACCCAATTACTATGCTTTAGCCATAAGCTTTACGGCTGCCGTGGAAACCAACACGGTGTAGCCATGTTCCGCGTGGGCTTCTTTCAGGGCATCATAGTCGCCCTGCTGGCCCCTATCATCGCAGAGAAAGGAACCGACCTAGAGGCTTAGCCGCTTTAGTACTTCTTTGATCTTGTGCGGGCGGAGTAAAACCGGGCCAATGCATGCTCTCTCTGTGTCTTTCTACCTACCAACCTACTCATCTATCGATCTATCGATCTACCTATCTATGTGCCCAGCTATGTAGCCACCTGCCCAAGCGATGTATCACACGGTTACCTCTGTCTTCGTGTACAACAATTTGGCTTGACATGTTCGCCTATCCCTTAACTCATCTGTCTACTTACTTGTACTATCTTGTACAAACAAACTCCTATAAAACACAAGTTTGTTTTCTGTATGTGTATTCTATATATATACACATACATATACATATACCTATACACATATACACATATACACATATACACATATACACATATACGCATATACACATATACACATATACACATATACACATATACACATATACACACATACACATATACATATACACATATACATGTACATATACATATACATATACACATCTATATATATATATATATATATATATATATGTGTATATATATATATATATAGAATACATGTAAGTATATATATATATATATAGAATACATGTAAGTATATATATATATATATGTATACATATATGTATATATGTGCCTATGTATGTATGTATGTATGTATGTATTTATGTATGTAAGGGCATGTGTATGTATGTATATATATATATATATATGTGCGTTTACATGTGTGCATGCATGTAGCACTTCTCGCCTTTGCATCTGTATCTGCGTCCGCATCCGTACCTGTACCTATATCCAAACCTACACCTATGTCTATAGCTTACACCTACACCTGTATCTATGTACGCAATTTGTCTACATGTGCACATGTGTGTATAAATGTATAGGTTTACATAGGTATACATATATATCTATATGCATATATATATATATATATAAATAGAGGTATATACGTGTACACATAAATATACACATATACGCCTGTATGTATGTATATATGTATACATATACACACTTGTGTGCACTTCCATTTATCTGTTCACCCATGTCTTCATTTCTTTAACGATACATCTATCCATCTCTCTATCTTTTCGTTCATCTATATGTCTACCTACCTACCTACCTACCTGCCGGCCGACGGACCGACCTACCTACCAGCATACCTACCTACCATCCTCCCGACCGACCTACCTAGCTATCTGTCTGGTAGATGATAGGTAGACGGACAGACGAGACAGGATAGAAAGGTCGATGGACAGACCGATAGATAAACAGAAGAGCGAGAGAGAGAGAGAGAGATAGATGCATAGACAGATAGATGGACCGCCAGCTGGCTAGCTATGTAGATAGGTAGATGGATATATATATATATATATATATATGGATATATATATATATGTATATATATATATATATATATATATGAGTACATTGATAGATAGACAGATAGACAGATAGCTAGCTATCTAGTTTGATAGATAGCTAGATAGATAGCTCGATAGCTAGATAGGTAGGTATGTACGCGGGTAGGTAGAGATAGTTAGATAGGTAGATAGGCAGATAGGGCAGAAGGCAGGTAGGCAGGTAGGTCAGCAGGTCAGCAGGGTCGGGTAGGTGGATAAAGATGAACGGAAATTATGCATGCATGCCGGTATGCATGCCTGCATGCCTGCATGCATGCAGGGACGGATTCATGGATGGATGAATAGATGTATGTGCACACTAGTTCTCTGTAGAAGCCTTCTCCGGGCCACTGAGGAGGACTCTTTGCTGGAGGCCCTGGGCCAGGAAATCGACAGCGAGGCCTGGGGCTTTGTTAAAGAAACCTTATGACCTTAGTAATGTAGGCAAGGAGCCATATGACTTTTACACCATTTCTTAGTTTTATGGTCGTTTAAAGAAACCATATGAATTTGTTTGTATGGTATCGTAAAATCTTGTTCGTTTTCAAGAGCCCGGAGGACTGCAGTCTGCTGAACGAGGGGCCCAGCTGCCAGGCATCGGCCTTCCTCCAGACAGGTGGGGGGTTTTGGGGGATTTAGGGGGTTTCGGGGCTTAGGCAGTGTAGGGGGTTGAGGGATTTTAGGGGGTTAAGGGGGGTTTAGGAGATTTTGTTTACTACAGATCCCCTTACTATAGCAAGCTGAGGCATAATAAGGAAACCATATCATGTAAGTTTACTACAGATCCCTTTATTATGGTAAGTTAAAGGTAAGGCCCTGTCTCATCTCAGGTGCAGCCCTGCGGTGGTCGGAGTCCCTGAAAACGGACAGAGCGACGATTCCCCGGATCTCGGAGCCCCTTTCCTTCCTGGAGATGCAGGAGGAGACGGCCACGGAGGCGGCGGTGGGAGAGGTGCACAGCAGCAGCGCTGCCGAAGAGCTGGGAGAGCTCTCCCAGAAGGTGGGGGAGGTGCATGCGGATCGATCGCAGGAGCTCCTGAGGCAATGGCAAGAGGACGGCGTGGAGCTGTATGCTGCAGCGCAGGCAGCGCCCTCCGTAGGCAGCTTCGCATCTGAAGCCACAGCAGCTCTGAAGAACGGCCTAGGCGCCGGTCACCAAGCGAAGGGCATTACCGGCTTCTCCCTCTTTCTCTTTGTCGGCCTTCTTGCGGTTGTGAGTGTTGCGGTGGTCGCACTCCTCTACTGGGGCCCTTGGCTGTGGAAGTTGGATCAGCAGGTGCCTCAGTGGCTGCCGGAAGCACTTTCCCAGGACCTCGTTGCACGCGAGGCGAAGATTCCGGAGCTGGAGGAAGGCCCCCCCCGGCCCGCCAAGCAGCCGACCGAGCTTCCTGCCCAGCAACTGAGCTTCGGATTACCATACTTTAATACTTCTTTTATCTTAAAGAAGCCATTGTGAAATAGAAGTTGATAATTACCTTTTTGTCTCCCTGCTTCAAAGCCCAGGCAAAGCGGCTTCGAAAGGGAGCCCGGGCCCAAACCCTCGGAAATTCGCGATGCGGAGAAGGGGCTCCAGGAGCGACTCCGGCAGCTCATTTTCGAGGCGGCCGTTTGCGAGGACTGCCTGGGGAATGGTTTAGGGGTTCCTTTAAGGGTTCCTTTAAGGGTACATTGAAGGGTTCCTTTAAGGGTTCCTTGAAGGGTTCCTTGAAGGGTTCCTTTAAGGGTTCCTTGAAGGGTTCCTTGAAGGGTTCCTTGAAGGGTTCCTGTCAGGGTTACTATAAGGGTTGCCATAAAGGGTTATACTATAGGGGTTTGAGGTTCCTAGTAGAATGTCTGGTTCTTAGTAGGGAATGGGGTAATGGATTATGGGGACCATTATTGGGGACGTTCAGGGACTACCATAGGGATCCCTTCCCCCCCAAAGCAACAGACAGAGGAGGAGAACCTGGAGCAAGTTTTGCCCTCTGCTGCGGGCTACGACTGTGCGCTCTCCAAGCCCGTGAGCAGCGGCTGCCCTGTGAAGTTGCTCTGCCGCATCGAGGGAGCTCTACCTGGGGGCCCTCCGCCCCTGGGCCTCCTCCGCGCACCACTCAGCCAAAGGAGCTGCGTTCTCTTCAGGGCGGTCGCCGAAGGTCTGGGACCCCAAAAAGACAGAAGCATCAGCATCTTATAGGGATATCCCTACCTTCTTGTGCTTCATTAGGGGGGGGGGGGTGGGTGGGTTTATATGAGATATCCCTATCCTAGCTTTTGCTGATCTGCTTCTTTTTGTGGGACCCTACTTAAAGGATCATGGGACTTAGTAACTAGGGTTATGATTAAGGTAACTAAACTTATAGCTACTTATAACCCCAATTAAGGTACTTATAACCTTACTTTCTAAGTCCCATGATCCTCCAAGTACACCCTGAAGTAGAGTAGGGTAACTATACTTATAACCCATATTAGGGAACTTAGAACCCTACTTATAACTACCCCTGAACCTCCAAGTATGAAGGTGCCATGCCAAAGAAGTCCGAGGAGGCTGTCGACTTCCAGGTCTCCTTGGTTTCTGCGCCGTGGATCCGTATCTTCGGCCCTTTTTTGAGGAAAGGAGGTTTCCGAAATCAAGGGGGTACCTAAGGGTTCCTTTAAGGGGTGGCTTTGAGGGTACTATAATGGCTCCTTTAAAGGGCTCTGTAAGGGTTCAGGCAGCAAGGAAGCCCTATTATTTTTAGTAAGTGTTGCTCGACATTGTTTCCGATTGTCAAAATTGTAGCACCATTATTCTGTCAGTACAACTCTATATGGTTTACTATGGACCCCTTTTGTGGTAACTTAAATGACTTTAACTATTGCTTGCTATGGACCCCTATTATGGTAGCTGAAAAATTAAATTCTAACAAGAAGTCTATGACTTACTATGGATCCTTATTATGGTAGCTTAGACTAATTTCCCTTAACAAGACTCCCGGCATCGAAACCCTAAACCCCTAAATCCTAAACTCTCAACCCTAAACCCCAAACCCTGACCCCCCCCAAACCCTTAAACCCTAAACCCAACTAACTTTGATAGCCAGAACCCAGGCATCGGGACCCTAAGCCCCGAAACCTAAACCCAACTACAGGGCCCCAAATCAAGGGATCTACTTTCTAGATCCTCCCGGGGGCCTGGGTAAGTTTCCTTAAGAAGAACCCAGGCATCCCCTACTATGGTAACTTAATCTAAGTTTCCTCAGCGAGAACCTAGGCATCGAAACCCCAAGCCCTAAGCCCCTAAACCCTAAGCCCTGAACTCTCAACGCTAAACCCTAAACCCAACTAAGTTTGATACCCATCGAAACCCTAAAACCCTAACTCCCGCAGCCCCCTAAGCCATCAACCCTAAACCCCAAACGCTAAACCCCCACCAAACTTATGGTAACTTAATCCAAGTTTCCACAGAAACCCAACGAAGTTTCCCCAGCCAGAACTCCCTAAACCCCTAAACCCCTAAACCCAACTAAGTTTCCCCAGCCAGAACTCCCTAAACCCTAAACCCCTAAACCCAACTAAGTTTTCCCAGCCAGGACTCCCTAAACCCCTAAACCCCTAAACCCAACGAAGTTTCCCCAGCCAGAACTCCCTAAACCCTGAAAGTCCGGTAGCTGTTCGAATGCCCTCAGTGCACAAGCGCTGGAAAGAGGCCTGAAGAGCAGATGCCGAAATCCCGATGGCCCGGACGAACGGGGCTGAGCGGACCTCTTTTCTGCTCACACTTGACCTGATTCGTAGCTGCGATCACAAGACACACAGATGCGTCTCCAACAACGTTGAGTGAGGCATCTGCAAGTGACTTCACTTGCATGACCCCCGGCTCCGAATCCCCGTACTGCGCAGCATTCCCCAAACAAAACAACTAGTGATTCTGCTTCTCCTTCTGTGCTAGTGGCTCTAAGCCTGCTTCTCTCCGCCTGCGAGCTGATTGCATTTCTGGGTCCTCGACAATGCGCCATGACTGCCCGAGCCTGTAGAACATCTCGATTTCATTCTTGCCTCTCATCTTGGTAAGCGAATTGGCCAGTTGTGCTTCGGAGTGCACCCACCGCACAATGAGCCCAGTGTTCTGCTGTGACTCTTTCAATGCCAGGGCTTCTATGTTGGTGCGCTCTTCCGCACCCTTGATGCTCGCCACCTCACAGGATAGCTTATCATACACATTCCTGGAGTCCGTAATGAGGCACCCGGTAACTCGTCGAACAACTTCATCCGGTTGTCGAGGGTTCACGTTGCCATACAACATCTCACTCCATTGGAAGCGTGCATAATATAATGCGTCCTCCCCGTTCACGGCGGCCTGCGTCTCTGCTGCGCCTGGGCTGCGGCAAGATCTATCTATGCGATTTGAGTGCCAGGCCATCAAAGAGACCTGAGTCACCTCCCCATGCAGAAGTTCTGCTGGGGCGGCACCGATCACCACGCCCTGAGTGCTGCCACCATCGTGCCTATTCTGACTGCCTGCATCCACCCAAGCGGCCAAGATCATTTGTTCCGACACACACCTCTGGATCTTCAGCTTGTGGTCGCTTCTGGCTTTGGCCTGAGTGAGCAAAGCATTTGCCCGGAAGATTGTCTCCACCTGCGAGTGAGTTACTTCAGACAGGAGCATGCTCACATCCGCTGCTAAGTGGGGTGCCACTTGTTGGCTGTGCCAACTAAGCGCTCCCAGTAGGCCGCGTAACTGCGATTTTTCGCGGTCTGAGGTGGCGGCTTGACGGGTCTTCCGCCGCGTAGCATTGACATGGATTTCACTCACTCCCTCAAGGTACCTTGGTTGTGACAAGGTGAAGCCGTCCTTCGTGGTTTCAACCTGCACTCCACACTGTGTGAAGTTGTCCAAGTCCCAGTCCCCCCATTTGAAGTGAGCCTTAATCTGTGCCAACAAACTCTGCCACTCCTGATCTGAGTCAGAGCCTGCAAAGATGAAATCGTCAACATGTCCCGAAATCATACCTCGGAGGACGCCGTCTTTTCTCCACACCCATGCACAAGCATCTGACCATAGCCGCTCCAATCCCAGACTCTCCAGGTAGGCTGCCACAGTCTTGTACCATTCAAGGGGTGCGTCCACCAATCCGTAACACGCCTTTTTAAGACGAGTTACGGTATTAGCGGGAAGGCCCATCTCCTGACATATTTCTGGACATGGAATGCAAAACAATTCATCTGGATACTCTCGCCCTTGTAAGAAGGCACCGCTGACGTCTCCCTTCATGATACGCCATTTTTGGTTGGCCGCCAACTGAAGAAGTAGCTGGCGTGTCTGTCTGGTCATGACCGGTGCCGTTGTTGCTCGGTGTTCATACGATGGGTCTTGATAGCCTAAGAGCACGGCGCGTGCTTTCGCCTTAGGCAATCCTGAATCTTGCATCTTCCAAGTCAAGATCCAACGCATACCGACTGCTTGTTCTTTACTCGGCTTAATGTGGTCGGGCAGGACCTCAAACGCGTTCGCCGCTAGGAAGTTCTTCACCTCAATCATCTTCGCTTGCTTGAACTGCTCAAGCTCCTTGGTGGTGAGGCGCTTCTCCGATACTTCCACCGCGCGCTTCTTCAACGCACATGCCAAGTATGCTCCCAGGTCTCTCGTGGCCCTGTTCCAGGCCTGTCCCTGCTGCGGCATGTCCACTTCTACTGCCACGGCAGCGTGAGCTTCCGACCAGAAACTGGAATCAGCAGGTTGCCAGGCGGACTCTTTCACTTCGGACCACCAACTGTACCCTCGCTCCGTAGGCTCTGGCCTTCGATGTCCTGATGCCGCTGAGGCGCTGCTGCGTCTCACTGGATCCGTAGGGCTCGTCTCTGCCAGAAGCTCATCCATCGATTCCGTGGTTTCTTGATCCAAGGGTCCTGGTGGTGGCCGTTTTCGTGTCAAGCGATGCCGTGCGGGGGCCACTTCCTCCGTCACGTCCTGGGCTCGCCTCCACTCGGCATCATCGGGCACCTCGGCACTGATGTCCTCATACTGATTTCCGCCCAACTCTTGAGAGAGCCGACTGAAGGTCCAGGGGGTTCCCTGGTCCTCGGAAAAGCTCTCCACAAGCTCTTCTCGCGTGCTGGCGGGTCTGAGTTGTTCTGGGCTGCACTTGATGAGTTGTCTACCTCTCACACACCAGATAGCGTGGCCATCCCGGGTGCTGCCGTCCGGATTCCTTCGGACCTCGGTGGCGAGGATCCTCGCTGGTCCGAGGAAGCGGCCGTGCTTGGTCCCAGGACTACGCTTGCCCTGGCCCGACTCTTGAGTTCGCCAGAAAAATACGAGGTCTCCTGGCTGATACTGTTGGTGAGGCCTGGTCCGAGAATTCAAGGCCTTCGTCACTCGTTGCTGGGCCGTCCAATCCGCCAGAGCTTTCTCGGCCTCTGCTCTCAACCGAGCTTCTCGCTTGAGCTCCTCCGGGGAGCTACTCAAGATAGGCTCTTCTGGAAGCAAGGCGGCGGAATGGATGTGCCGCCCCGTACTGTCTGGGCTGTGGCCCAGCACATGCTGGGTTGGCGAGAAGCCTCGCACCATCTCACGCTGATTGAAGGTACTGACAGCCACGCTCAAGCACTCCTCAGCACTGACCTCTGGGTCGGCAGCTGCTAGCTTGTCCGTGAGCTGCTTCAGTCCTTGTACGGCCTGTTCTGTCACTCCAATCTGCCAGTGAGCTTCCCCAGGGATTATGTCAAGATATATGCCATGGCGGTCACAGAAACTTGACATATGTTCCCCACGAAAGCTACCAGCCGGATCGAGCCTCAGCGTCTTTGGTTTTCCGAAGACCTGAAACCATCCCTCAGACAAATAGTTCGTGCACACTGCTCCACTGGGGGTCTGCTTCTGTCCCTTGGTCAGTATCTTCGCGACCCTGAACCTCGAACCCTCATCCACCACCACCATAAAGTTCTGATGCTCCTTGGTCTGAGGGTGCATCCAATGCCCTATGTCAGCAGACACGGTGTGGAATTTAGGTGGTAAAGGCTCCAGGGAGGCAACCTGTCGCGGCTTCACCTTAGCCCGCTCCTGACAAATGGAACACGTAAACTCTTTTGCAAGTTGCAACACCAAGGGTTTAGCGTTCCGTCGTTTCAAGGCATCGATCATGTGTCGAGTGCTGCCATGCCCGGTGGCGGCATGCAACAAATACAGCTTACGTTTGATCGCTTCGTGTTCCGCCTTGCCTTGGTTCTTAAGGGGTCCTGACCAGGGTCCTCTACTTTTCACTACCATGGCCTCCGCACAACTCACACTCGCAGGAACCGGAAATCCCAACGTTCTCAAAAGACCCTGAACTTCTGAACCAACTTCATCCCACGAAAGCACTCACCACGACGCGGTCCCCATGCCAAGCCTCGGTCGCGTGCCACTGTTTGGCGTCGAAGTGCACCACTCGGTGCCGGGTGGACACCACGTGTCCCAGCTCGGTTTTGCCGTTTGGCAATACCTTGGCTCGCGCGGGCTGTTGCTTGTTCTGCGGTGGCCCTGCTAGCCACAGGCCACCGTCTTGGTAGTTGGTTACTCCTATCAGGCAGTTCCGGGAACCTACTCTATTGTGGTTGTCACGATGAACCTTCAGTGTGCCATTGTCGTTGACCACAAACGAGGTGCACTCTATCTGCTCCTTCGACCAGTGCTGCACATACGCGAGAATATACCTACATATGTTGGGAAACTTCAGGGTACTTTTCGTAACTCCGTAGTGATTTCCGTAGGCATACAGACCAAACGACAAGTACCGAACATGTTCTTCTTGAAGCACACTACGATGGTTCTTGGGTCGGTAATTGGGCAGGGACTTCAGGACCTGTTCACAAGTGCCGTGGCTGAACTGTTGTTTCTCAAGGAGTTCTTTAGCTCGGGCCTCTATCTTCTGAACCTGAGCCTCGGAGAACACTTCCCTTTTTCCATCTCCTACCACGTACACATCACCTGAGGTGTCCATGTCATCGTCGTTCTCATCGGTCACCCTACTCTCATCATCGCAATCCTCCTGAAACATCCCTTCTTGAACCTGCAGCTGCACTCGACCCTTCAGGGAACTCGCGCACTCCTGAGGAACCTTTGGAAGACACACCTCCCCGCAGGTACAGAACTCTCCTTCTCCGAAACTGGGAACCAGGTCCGTACTCCCTGTGCATTCCCGCAGTGTTGCCTCGAAGGACAACTCCTGTTTGAGGATCCTTGCTACTCTTTGGGAGTACTCCTTGGTGTAGGGGAGTTCCATGGGGGCTTTCTTGCCGCTACACGTTCCGTGGTTGTAGTTACGAGGGCAACGACACGGGAGGTTAAGGTTCTCGGACAGTCGCTTACTAGTAGTGAGAATCTTCCAACCCTGTTGCGTCAACTGGCCCTGCGGTTCACTCCGGTGGTTCACTGCACAACCTTTGGTCACAGCCATGTACATGTCATACTTCACTCTCAAGTTGTTCAAAAGTCCCTAGCCATCCCGGGCCAGGTACTCTCGCAAGCTAGGAATCGCCGTCTTAGCGGGGTGAGCTTGCTTCATGAAATCTTCTGTTACGGGTAACAGCTGGTGTCCAGTAGATGATCGCTCAACTTGCACTATCTGGCAGTCGTTGAGGTTCCTAAAACAAATCAGGTCAGCTTCAAAATCGATAATGGCTCCTAGCTTCCTCAGAGAATCCACGCTCAGTAGAAGCAGGCCACTACCATGGTCCAAACAGTGCACCTTGAGGTCGCCGGGCTGCTCGTCGGAGGCGATCCTGAGATGGATGGTAGAGGTGCACTGGTTCTCTGATCCGTTCCCGAAGCCGAAGATGGGGCGGTCCTTGAGGTCCACGGCGCTCACGCCGTTGTTGCCGTACTTCTGGTTGTTCAAGGACATAATTGCCTCCATCGCGGGTACAGATGCCAAGGTTCTGGTAGCTCCGCCGTCGATAACGGCCTTGCCTTGCTGCACCGCTTCGGCCGTGGTGATCCCCGTCGCATACGCCGTCTCGGGTTCCACATCATTGAAACATATGAAGGAGGAGCTCGCCTCCACCTGTTCGGCTATCTTGGCGCTCTGGGGCGCCGGCTGAGGGCAGTTGGCCACCCTGTGACCAACCTTTCCGCATCGCATGCACGTCATCTTGGAGTCATCGGGTGTTCCGGAGCCCCGACCTCGACTAGCACCTTGGAAACCCCGCCCGGGTGTTCTGAAGTACTGTCTTGACATGCGCACATTGTGCTGCCGCGTACGGGCAGCACGCAATGTGCGCCGTGCTTGCTCCATAGCCGCCATGGCTTCCTGAGCCTCTTCTTCTGCCACTGTCAACATCGTCTGGTCCTCCTCATCAAGCTCCGGCTCGAGGCCGTCGTCATTCTCGGCCTCGGGGTTCTCCTCGAGGTCGTCTTGCGGTCCATCACCCCAATAGCCACTTTGACGGGTCGCTGACTCCCGTCGCCGATGAGCTTCCTGACCAGACCATTGGTTGCGCAATTCCTGCGCCACTCGCTGCAGGGCAAAATTCCCGCTCAGCGCCGCCATGATCATGTTCTTTTCTCCCGCGTCCAAGCCTGAGTCCTGCAGAAGGTACCATCTCTGCACGAAGTCCGGCAGCAAATCGGGGATGGGAGGCCGTGGCGCCTCCGAAGTAGTCTGCCAACTGGGTGGCGACCATTCCCAATCCCCTGTGCCGTACCAACTGGAGCCATGGCCTCCATATCCCGGCGTCCACCAGGAGGAGGTTGTCCACCAGCTCTGACTTGGTTGCCACCACCGCCAGGGGTCCTCGGTCTCCCGCTCGGTGGCATCGTCATCGGCATCCTCCGGCTCCTGTCCCACAGGGGCCGCGGCCTGTACCTCGCCCTGGTCCTCCGTCGTAGTCGCACCCATGGAGTCCCAGCTGCTCCGGCGGCTGGTATTCCACGGCGGGGTGCCCTTAGGTTTCGCCTCGGCACTCCGTTCTTCATGATGCGGTAGGACACGCTGAAGGGCCTGGCAGGCACGTAGGTACACTTCGCACTTCCTTGTGATGTAATCGTTCATGGTCTCGTTCGGACGCCGACGGGAGCTCTTGAAGTAGCGATTGAGATGCTCAGTCAGATCTGACACCAAAGGCTTCCCCAAACAAGCCCTCAAGTGCTTCATCAAGTCACGAACACCTCGAGAGTGCGAAACCCAGTCATGGGGCTTCCCCGCCACCAATCTCTTAGCAGCGCCGGTGAGCTCTGCTAGCAACTTGGGTCCACACAAGTATCGCTTGTTCATAGCTATGGATTGTTCCCATATCAATGCGGTTTCCTCGAACTCCTGGAATGTGCTCGCTTCACCATTCCAGATTGGCACGCCATCTTTGGATCTCGTGATCTCCGTCATGGCGTACTCGCCACTTACCAGACTAGTCACCTGCTGAGGGTACGAGCGCTCAGCAGTCGAAGGTCCCTGGATCTTTGGAGCCCGAAGGCTCCGCTACCATGAAAGTCCGGTAGCTGTTCGAATGCCCTCAGTGCACAAGCGCTGGAAAGAGGCCTGAAGAGCAGATGCCGAAATCCCGATGGCCCGGACGAACGGGGCTGAGCGGACCTCTTTTCTGCTCACACTTGACCTGATTCGTAGCTGCGATCACAAGACACACAGATGCGTCTCCAACAACGTTGAGTGAGGCATCTGCAAGTGATTTCACTTGCAAAGCCTAAACTCCTAAGAACCCCTAAACCCAACGAAGTTTCCCCAGCCAGAACTCCCTAAACCCTAAACCCCTAAAAACCCCTAAGCCCAACGAAGTTTCCCCAGCCAGAACTCCCTAAACCCTAAACCCCTAAAAACCCCTAAACCCAACGAAGTTTCCCCAGCCAGAACTCCCTAAACCCTAAACCCCTAAAAACCCCTAAACCCAACGAAGTTTCCCCAGCCAGAACTCCCTAAACCCTAAGCCCCTAAAAACCCCTAAACCCAACGAAGTTTCCCCAGCCAGGACTCCCTAAACCCCTAAAAACCCCTAAACCCAACGAAGTTTCCCCAGCCAGAACTCCCTAAACCCTAAACCCCTAAACCCCTAAACCCAACGAAGTTTCCCCAGCCAGGACTCCCTAAACCCTAAACCCAAGTAAGTTTCCCCAGCCAGAACCCCAGGTATCGATGTCTTGGGGCACGAAGTGAAGCTCCTGGAGGTTCACGAGGCTTCCGAGCACGAGACCTTCACTCCCTACCAGGTCGAGGGTTCGTACTTGGAGGGTCGGGGGACTTAGTAAGTAGGGGGCTCCTTTAAAAGGGGATTATAAGGGTTCCTTTAAAGGGCTCTATAGGGGTACTATAGGGTTTAGGGTTCAGGGACTTAGTAAGTAGGTAGTAAGTAGACTTATAAGTATCATAAAAGGGACCCTAATTGGGGTTATGGTACTTATAAGTCCCTAAAATAACCAGTTACTAAGTCCCCCGACCCTCCAAGTAGGGGATCCTTGAAGAGTTGCTCAAAGGGATTTGCAAGGGGCTTAGGGGGTTTGGGGTTTTGGGGAAAGGAGGGGTTTAGGGGTTTCGGCGGCTTTAGGGTTTCGGGGTTCAGGGGTTCAGGGGTTCAGGGCTTGGGGTGTAGGGGCTTTGGGTTTGGGTTTAGGATTTGGGGCCTAGGGTTTAGGGCTTGGGGTTTGGGGGGTTTCGGGTTTAGGGTTTGGGGTTTTGGATTTAGAGTTTAGGGCTCAGGGTTTTGGGGTTTAGGGTTTAGGGCTTATAGGGTTAAGCCTTTTACTTCCTACCAGGCCTTCGGCGACTTGCCCAAGCACTGGAAGCACTTCATCTGCCCCGTCCCCGAGCCGAAGGTTTCCTTTTTACCGGTGCCCCCTCCGGCCCCCGCCTCCGCCGCTCTGGAGAGGGAGCTCTTCCGGTTCCGTGACTCGGTATCGATTTGGGATAGTTGTAAGTTTCCCTTATCCTTCTGAAGTGTTTAATACTGTTACCTATAGAGCCCCAAATTGTAAAGACTATTTGAGATGTGAATGATTAATTATAACCATTATTATTGTTATATTGTTAAGTATAGAGCCCTAATCATAGGTTCTTTGGAGATGTCATTATTATGATGGTTATTACTGTTACGTTGTTAAGTATAGAAAATCATAATCATAAAGAATCTTTGGGGGGCTGCCGAACTCGACGCCCACTTAGAGGATCATGGGACTTAGTAAGTAGGTTATAATTGGGGTTATAAGTCCCCTAAGTGGGGTTATCCTAGTTATAACCTACTTATAACCTTACTTACTAAGTCCCATGAGCGCCCAGGCGAGGATCTTCTTCAGGTCGGCTCTGAGGTGATCCTGTGCGGCGAGCTGATCCGGGACTCCAGCGGCCGAATCTTCGTGCAGCCGTGGCAGGAGAACTTCGGATTTCGGGTTTTTTTTGGGGGGTTTAGGGCTTTTCAGGGTTTAGCACGTAGGGCTTCTGGGGTTTAGGGCTTGGGGTTGAGGGTGCCGTGCGGCCAGGAGAGCTTCGAGAACTCCTCTTCTTGGCGCACTTCCTGGGAGTTGGAGGGCTCCCTGGATCTCAAGCCCCACGTCCTGGCCACCACCGAAGCTGCTCTGATGGAGGTGCCGGGCAAGGTCCCAACGGCAGAGAGCTGCTTCGATGAGTTTGCTGTGATGGTGCCATAAGCTCCTATTTCCACCAGAAGATGTGCCTGCTCAGCTCAGTGAAGGGTGGAGCTGTGATTGCAAGAATATGCGCCGTAAAACGAGTGGAGGCCTTGCAGGCATTGCTGTGTTGCTACCCATATAAGCCCTCACTCTCAGCCTTTCTTTCCAGAATTTCCAGACTATCCAGATTCCAGAACCCTAGATGCCGCCAGGACAGGAGTCGGTGGTGGCCCAAAGCAGGCACTGAACCGGAGCGCATCGGAGGGTGCGCAAAACCAGCCGAGCAGGCTTGTTCGTTGGCAGGTGTTGCGACTCATTGTGACTCTCTCTGGGTCTACAGGATTTAGGCGGATTACGGACTCACCCTTGATGCTGCAGTCGGCAACATCTCAATTTGCAATCCGTGGAGAGTCGAAGACCGTAAGCCGTAAGCCCCCTTGAGTTTCAGCATTCTTTCGGTTCCTTTGCTTCCTGCAAATCGTTTGGCAAAGCAGCTTTTCTGCACGTGACCCTCGTGGCTAGGATGCGATCAACATGTCGTCGTAGAACCAGGCCCCGCCGGCGGCAGCACGAAGCAAAGGCTAGCATTAAGAAGGAATTTCTGCTGGGACTGCACAAAATCAACTGTGTCTCTTTGCATCATTTGATCGGCATAGCTGCCGATGACATGCCGGCAGTGTGCGGCATGCTGCAGCCTTTCTATCTCATGGATCTAGTAGACAATCCTTCTCTTTCTCTCACGGAAACCTGCAGCGATCTTCGCCAGCTCGCCGCTATGGACGAGGTGCCTGTGGTGCGAAACTTTGTTCAACAGTTCCCAAAGGCGACAGCATGTAGACGAAGAAGCCCAGAAACACTTCTGAATTGACCACATTGGATGTCTGCATTTGCCTCATAGGTCTGTTCTGATTTACCCAGAGATCACTAATTTCCGTTGCGAGTGTGATCCATGCATGCTGGCACCCGAGCTAGGCCGAAAGGGCGAAGACGGAATGTTGAATATAGGCCCAGTATACTATAACTCTAAAGACGAGCCCCCCCAAAGTGGTATTTGTAATTATCCAGGCCCCTGTATCAAATCCTTATAATGGCCCTTATAGTAGCCCTTTTAGATCCCTTTAAAGGAACCCCTTCTAGAACCCCTGTAGATCCCTTTAAAGGTTCTTATATGCCCTATATTAAGACTTATTAAGAAGTAGAATGGCGAAGTCCGGGACCCTAAGCCCTGAGCGCTAAATCCCCCGAATCCGGAACTGTATGATAGAGGGGCCTAAATAAATAGCTGCTCATACAATTTTTTAGTGCTTCCTTATTATAATCATAGTATCATGAGCCACAAAACCTTGTTCTAATTATTGAGGCCCCTATAGAGTTCGTTTTGTTGGTGTATCGGACAGAAGGTTCTCAGTTTGCACATGACATTGTTGTTGCGCATTTTCAGTGCGTGCGGAGCTGAATTGACCGGTGCCCTCTACTGGCTAAGGATCGACGAAGCCAAAGTCCCAACAGCCCATGTTCCCCATAACTTCTACGGTATCCTCTGAACCTTGGCATCGTTTTGAAAGCCAGATGAAGATGTAAAGTTGGGTGGACCGCTTCGCGACAATGCGTCGGAATAACTCAACACAGGTTGCTGGGCTCTGACGGAAGACACCTTCGCTGTGCCTATTGGCCCGCCATTCCTGCATTCGAAGAACCGCCGCTGAGCCCCCAAATCCCCTGAATCCCCTAAACCCTGAACCTTAAATTCCTAAACCCCCAGCCCTAAACCCTAAAGCACGAACCCTAAATTCCTAAACCCCAAACCCTAAATTCCTAAATTTCAAACCCCTAAACCTTAAACCCTAAACCCTAAATTCCTAAACCCCAAGCCCCTAAACCCCCCTAAAGCCCTGGCAGGAGCTGCAAGAGCCGGGGTCCGATCCTGGAGAGCGTGCATCGTTGTTGACCCTTTCTGATGCCACCTGGGCCCGAAGTACAGTTGATGATATAAAGGGATCTATAAGGGTACCTTTAAGGGATCTATAGGGCTTTTAGGGTTTAGGGTTTAGGGCCCCATTAAAGGGTTCTGTAGGGTTTTAGGGCTTTAGGGTTTAGGGTAGTTATAAGTGGGGTTAATATGGCCCCTAATATGGGTTATAAGTATAGTTCCGCTACGTATAACCCTACTTATAACTACCCATGAACCTCCAAGTAGGGCTCTGTCTTTGGTGGTATGTCGCGAAGTATTCGGGATACGGAAGACGACAGCTGGAGGATTGAGGGGTCGAATCTGCATCCCTCCTGTCAAGGCATGGCTTGATTCAGAGCCGGGTTTAGGGTTTAGGGTTTAGGGTTTAGGGTTAAGGAACGCACTTGGTCCAATGAGGTGTTCAAGGGATCGAAACAATTGCTCGCCCCTCAGTGATAGCAGTCTTCACCCGAATCCCGAAGCTACACTCGGCATGTGGCATGAGATGGAGCCTTTAGGATGCTCACATCACGGCCCAAACCACTAGCATATGAGCCCTAAACCCTAAGCTCTGAACCGAAAGAAGCCATAAATCCTAAATCCTAACCCTGAACCAAAGAAGCCCTCAGCCCCAAACCTTAAAGCTTTAGGCGTTTCTAAACTCCTAGCCCTAAACCCGAAGCCTCATGTTTCAGAGCAGAGCGAAAGCACAGGATCACCGGCCGTCGATCCAGGCCGAGGGACTCAGTAGAATTATCAAGACTACGAAGAATAATCGCTTCCTTTGCTGTGAACGCGTGCACTTGGGAGGTCGAACCCAAAATGGTCTTAGGGTTTGGGTTGAACATGCTTAACCCTAAACGGCGCGAAGCTCTGTGCTATTGGGATATGCTAGGTTCACATCCTTCCAACATTGCTCATTCTCCGCAGTTTACGATTGCAGGTTGAGGGTTTGGGCGTCGAGTTTTAAGCATTTGCAGTCACATGCGCTGTTCGTCATGCCCACCCCAACCCTCAGCAAAAACGTGGGCTACAAGCCGGTGCCTTGGCAGGCTGTGCCCAAAATTCCTTCCAGGGCAAGGAGGAAGGTGATCGAGCCTTTGCCGCACAGCAGAGGGAGGAGTTGACTCTCGCCTTAGCAGCCCCGGACCAAACCCGAAATTCGATTCGTGCATCCCAACAGCCACTAAAACCACAAAACAAAATCGCCATAAGCACAAAAGGGTTGGAGAGGCGTGGAGTGCAACGCCCTAGAGCTATGGAGCCACGGATTTGGGTTTCTTCTTGGCCCGGCTGAGCCCCACAGCCCTGAACCACCCGCAGCTTTCTCGGGGTTTGGGTAAGCGGTTTGGTGTACGCGGTTTGGGGTTGAGGGTTTAGGGCGTGGGCTTCAGGGTTTAGGGTTTGGCCATGGGAATTTGATTCTGGACTTCGCGTTTCAGTCTGGTGGCATCTCCTTTGAGAAGGGAGATCCCAAAGCTCCTTTTCTGGATCTTGCTAGGGACCTTCTCAGACCCGTCGCAACTCCTAGAAGGTGGCCGGCAGTGTTTGATCTCATCGTTGAACCCCGCACTCATCTTCGGGTTAAGGGTTCGTAGGGCTTAGGGTTAACGGTTAAGGGCTTCAGGGTTTAGGGGTTTAGGGAGTGGGGTTTAGGGCTTAGGGTTTAGGCCCACTTCAGGGCCAAGAAGGCAGTACCCGATGCAAGCAACGTGGCTCCCTTCAGGAAGTGAAGAAGCTGGTTTCGGAGCAGCCGCTGGTCTCGAGGGGTTGTGAGCAAGGGTTTAGAGTTTAGGGTACGAGGGGCTTCCAGACTGCTGCAAAGCGATTAGTAACGCTGTCCTTTGGGCTCCCTGTACAGCTAAAACCCTAGGCCCAAAGCCTCAAAAGCGACAACCGCTACAGTCCCCTAAACCCTAAACCCTAAACCTTAAGCAGTAAACCCTAAACCCTAAACCTTAAACCCAAAACCCTAAACCCTAACCCCTGAAGCTATAGGGCAGGATCCGCTCAAGCATTGGATTCCGCGATGTGTGGGGCGGCTGTGGTAGGCCCTGAGGATCCTCAAGCCCGAGCTTCGGCACTCCAGCCTAAGGCTGTTTTCATGGGGAAGACGCGGAGGGACTTGTAGTAATTGTGGTATGCCATACTTCAGATTTCGGGTTTAGAGGTTTGGCGTTCGAGTTCAGGGTCTTGCCGAGGGTGCAAAACTCCACCGAAACACGGCAGCTCGCAAGCAGAAAAGGAGTCGAATAAAGACGGCGGTGGAAGCCAGCGACCTCGCTCATGCGCAAGGCGCGGGTTATTTTTCCGCCCAACGCGGAATTCTAGAACCAACTTCTCCTCAACCTCTGAAGCTTCAATCTCCGAATCTCGCCGCAACCCCTGGACGCCAAGACCCGAATTCCCGAAGCGCCTTAGACCGTCAACCCTTGAACCCTAAACCTCTCAAGCCGAACGTCCAACAATCCCGACTTCCCAACGCCTACTTGGAGGTTTATGAGTAGTTATAAGTAGGCTTATAAGTAAGGTAACTATACTTATGACCCATATTATGGGACTTATAACCCCACTTATACGTACCCATGAACCTCGAAGTACAGCTCCCACCTTAAAACCCCGAAAACCCGAACCTCAGATCCCACACCCTACTCCCGAACCCTAAACCCTAGACCTAAGCTTGGCATTTGACAGATCTGAACCCCTAGACCTAAGAAGCTAGAGACCCTAAAGCCCTAAACCCTAAACCCTAAACCTTAACTGCTAGGCGGAAAAAGGTGCTCAAAAAAAAAACCCTAAACCCAAGCTAGAGACCCTAAACCCTAAACCCTTGAACCCGAAAAGCAAAGCTCGGAACCGTGGGGAGGCTACCTAGAGCTGGAGTCCCAGCTTCGCGAGTTCATGGCCGAGGTGGAGGCGAGGGGTTTAGGGTTCAGGGTTTTAGGGTTTAGGGGTTTAGGGTTTAGGGTTTAGGGTTAGGTTTTAGGGTTCAGGGTTTTCGGGTTTAAGGGTTTAGGGTTTAGGGTTTCGGGTTTAGGGGTTAAGGGTTTTAGGGTCTAGGCTTTGGGTGTCAGTCTTGGGGTTTCAGTTTCAGGTACCTGTGGGGGGGCCGGAGCAATGTAAAGCATTGCACCCCTGCAGTCCCTGTACAACTATACTATCACATGTAGAGAGGCCCCAGTTATTCAGATCCCTGTAAGTTTGGGGTGAGAGTTGCAACGGACCATTAGCTCTCTTACCACCGTGGTCTTGTTTTGATCGACATTTCAGGATGAAGCTGGTGTTGTTGTTGCTGCTGTTGTTCCCTAAACTCTACACCCTGAACCCTAAACCCGTGGTCGTGAATGTTCGATTCATCCCCCTCCCTGTGCCTCGGACCAGGAGAAGCGCGCCAACGCCGAAGCGGTGATCCTGGACCTCGTCAAGGAGCTGGTGCGAACGGCACAGGAGGCAAGCCATGGGATCTCTGCCCCAAGCCGTAAACCCGAAAGGTCCGAACCAGCTCAAGATGTCGTGTAAGGACTTGCAAACTGCAAGGTCTTGAGTACCGTATACATATTATACTACACGAAACGTTACTACGCTGTACCATGTTATACCATACCTACGAATGGCAGTGCTCTCCTTCCCTGTTCTGCTGGTCTTTGTGCGACCTCGCATTGTGCCAGGTGGAGAGCATGAATGCCCAGGGGGCTCTCGTAGAGGAGCCCTTCTGCTTTGTTTAGGGTTTAGGGTTTCGGGTACCGGTCGTTTTTTTGTTTGTGCAGGGCTTTCGATGCTAGGTGAAGCATAGAAAAGTCAAGCATCGAATTCCTTTTTGATGTCCAGGTCCAGGGCGTCGTTCAGGGCTCGTGTTCCTTGATGTCGGGCTTCCTGGCAGGATTTTACTCTTGCCCTTGAAAGCAAAATTACTGGTCTTGCTCCTTCATCAACTGTACCAGGCCACTATGCAAGCTCTGATGCGTTTCGCATGTCAGGGCATGTAGCGACAGCCCCGAAGCGTTTCAAAAGCTGCGCAGACCACTGGGAACTACGCTGTCAATGAGGCGGAATAGAGGTCGTCTTCCATCGCATATATGTGCCTGTAGCCCCCGTGCTAGTCTTGTGTATCATGACCGGCAGAACCAACCTTGACATTACCACTGCTGGCAACCCAAACCCCAAGCCCTAAAGCATGCACTCGAATTTTCAGACCTCAACCTTAGCCTCGAAACCCGAACCCCCACTTGGAGGTTCATGGGTAGTTATAAGTGGGGTTATAAGTCCCTTATATCTAAGCATGAACCTTAAACTTTAATCCCTAAACCCTATAGATCCCTTTAAAGGAACCCTACTTGTAACTACCCCTGAACCTCCAACTTGGAGGGTCGGGGGACTTAGTAAGTAGGTAGTATGTAGACTTATAAGCACCCTAAGAGGGATCCTAATTGGGGTTATGGTACTTATAAGTCTCTGAAATATCTACTTACTAAGTCCGCCGACCCTCCAAGAAGTAAGCCGTATTTCAACCGTGCCAGGAGCGCCTGGATGCCGTGGAGGCACATCTACAGATGCTGGGACCGCCCTCAGACTTCCTTTAACGGGATCCTTTAAGGGATCCTTTAAGGGATCAAAAGGGATCCTTGAATGGTTCCTTTAAGGGATCCTTTAAAGGGTCCTTTCAGGGTTGCTGTCTCAGACTGGCTTCGGGTTTCAGGTTAGGATCCTTGGGTTTCAGGGTTTAGGGTTTTAGGGTTTTAGGGTTTAGGGTTTAGGGTTTTAGGGTTTAGGATTGAATTGAAGGGCTCGATTCAGTGCATTCAGAATCTTGCTACACTGGCTGTCATTCTGTATTGCCTTTTCTTGATTTTGGCGTTGAAGGGTAGTTCGGGATTATCATTACCATGCATGAGATCAAGATTACGAAGATTGTCAACAAAGTTGCCAAACTTCGCTTCGGGATCTTCGGAAGCTCTCGCGTTTCGCCACAGTCTCTGGCATTGCCGTTGCTTCGAAGTAAAATAGTTAGTCCAACATGCTAAACCCTGAATCCTAAACCCGAAGCTCTAAATTCTAAACCCTGAACTCTACACCCGAAGCCCTAAGCTCTAAAATCCTCCAACCCTCAACTTTAAATCCAGAACAACTTGTCGGAAGCCCTAAAGCTTGTGAGGGATGATGTCAGGTTTCGCTGTGATCTGCAGGACGAAACACCAAATCAACCCCAAAAGCCCAAGATCGTCAACCAAACATGCTCCAAACCCAAAACCCTGAACCAAAGAAGTAGGTAGTATTATTAGGGAGACCCCTTAAAGGGCACCCCTTCTGAACCCTACTTCTGGCTCTCTTAAAAGGGGCCTTATTGAGAGGGTCTATTTCCCCAAGGGTCCCCCTAATCCTAACTCCCACAACTGAAGCTTCACACGGGAGATTCCGAAAATAGGGGACCCTAATATAGTACCCTAAATAGTAGGATCCTTATTATAAGGACCCAAAATATGGTACCCCGAATCCGAGCTCCCAAGAAGGCCTCACCCCCCGAAGAAGATCCCGCAAGCTTCTTTAGGGACCTCGAGAGCAATTGGCCATCGAAGGGCAGCGACGCCCAGGCACGGCGCTGTTCGATTTCGGGTTTAGGGTTCAGGTTTAGGATCTAGGGTTTGATGGGTTTCAGGGCTTTGAGGATGGAGTTTAGGATATGTGATTTGGGGCTTCTTGAGATTCGGGGTTGAGAGCTTTCGGGTTTGGTGTTTTGGGGTTGGGGTTTTGTGCATCATCACGATCATTGGGCTACATCCCCTGTCATGGCTGGCAGTACTGCTTTATTGTTGGTTTTGTGAGTGGTCGTACCAGCGAACCCTAAAAGCATCTATTATTAGTGTCAGTACTACTGCTATTGTTATAATTAGTACTTTTATTGCTACTATTGCTATTGCTATTGTTAATTACGGTTTTTATTACTATGAATACTAGCTTTGTTATCAGTATTTGCTCAAGAGGTTGTTCACTGGAGCTGCGGCTGCAAACGCTCCTTTCGGCCCTCAGACCGAGTCCGCAAAGAACTCGACATTCTGAGCCCGGAGCAGTGCTCCCCTGCGTGGCCTTAAGGCCTAAGCCCTGTGTAGAGGGTGGCAAGTGCGATTGTTGGGGTGAAAGAGTACTGGCCAACCATCGGGGTCATACGCCCAACAGCAGCAGCAACAGCAACAACAACAGCAAGAAACCGGAGAGTGAAAATGAGCAGAAAAGCAATAGTATTAGCAAGCATCCATGCCGCAAGGTTAATAGATACATGTGTATATGAATATATGGTCATGCTATATATGTGTATATGTATGTATGTATGTATATATATATATATATATATGTATATATATATATATATATGTATGTATGTATGTATGTATGTATGTATGTATATGTATGCTTTTATGGTATACAGATACAAAAATACATATCAGATAGAGAAGTACCCACACACACATATATATATATATATATATGTATATATATGTATATGTAGATATATTATCTGCGGTATTGTAGATACATGGCTAACTATTTAACTAGCTAGCTAGCTAAATGAATAAATAGATACATCATGTATATACCTACCTATATATATGTATATATATATATATCTATCTATCTCTCTCTCTCTCTATATATATATATATATATTTATGTATATATCTCACAACACACCGACACCTGCCCTGAGTGCCTGGGAGCCACATGCCTCTTTCGGCAGGAGCCGCACGTGCTCGAAGATGCGGAGGAGGACGACACGCTGCCTTTCGCGCCCTTGAGTCGGAGCACAGCTGTAGGCGGGGCATCCGACGTTTTTGAATGTGCCCAGGGTAGGGTTTGGGGTTGTGGGTTTAGAGGTTTGGAGGTTTGGAGGTTTGGAGGTTAAGGTAAGCTCAAGAACGGTTTGATTTCATATTCCGCTCGAGTTTGGGGCTTCGGTATAAGTACTGGTGGCTCCTGCGTGCACATTTCCAAGCTACCATACACAGTCACAGTTGAAAGGCTCCAAGGGTAAAAGGAGGGACCCTTAATAAGGACCCTAGGTATATACCCTTAATATAGCTATTAAATACCCATTATATGACCCATTATAGGGGTCCCACCTTTTCCCCTTTGAATGGAGACTGCACATGCAGAGCCGCAGGCTGCTCGAGATTTACGCTCGCAGTGTCGTTTTCAGTGCATGCTTACTCGCCTGTTTGCCAGTTCAGGGAGACGCCGCATTTATTCATGCATGAAATAACTTTTCTTACAACCATGAGCAAGATTGTGTGTATAGTTCTTGTCACTGAGATTTTCGTTCGTTGCTTTGGTTGGCTGGCCGTGCTGCTTCCGTTCTGGCTGCCCAGAACAGGCTCGGTTGTAGTGCTCCTAGCATGTGTCGAGGCATGGACATTTCCCATTATCTTAGGTCATATTGTGTTGTAGCATATTCCAACATGTGATGATATGTTACAGTCCATTCTATTCCATTCTATTCTCTCGCCAGTTCTATTCTATTCTGGTCATTGCTAATTCTACTCTCTGATGTTCTGTTGTATTGAATTACAACATGATACTGCATGATGTATACGAAAGTATGAAACAATACGAAATAGTTCTATTCCGTTGCACCCTGGTTGTCCTATCCCTTCATAGTCGTGATGTATTGTCTTTTGCTCTGTTAGATATAGTATATTGGTGTGTAATGGTTGTAGACTGCATTCATTGTGCTACATTGTGTTATGTTGTTTCTTTGAGTCTTGAGGGTTTAGGATTTAGGGTTTAGGGTCTAGGGTTTAAAGTTTAGGGTTTAGGGTTTAGGATTTACGGTCTAGGGATTAAAGTTTGGGGGACATGCTTTCCAACATAGAAAGCTCGGCACAAAATCTTTTCTCCGGCGATCGCTCATGATTGAGTTTTGGAAGTTCCGATTCTGAAGCCCTGGAGAGGTGCTGTCCGTGCGTCTCATACCCTGGGCTTGAGCCGACCGTCGGAGCAGATGCGCAGCCGCCGCGACGCTTTTCTGCATTTCGGATGTCGGGAGAGGGTCGTGAACTGAAGGCTCTGTCCAGGTATAAACATGTAAACCAGTCTTTGCACAAAGACTGAGTGTATGCATGGTTGAGACGCTGTGTTGCCTCAGATACGTGGCTTCAATGATGTCAATGGGACAAACTTTCTTTTCATTGGTGCTGGCAGCAGTATGTTAAGCGTGAGCTTTGGTGTGATGCCGTCCACTCACAGGCTGATGTTGTTCCGCGACCTGGTGGGGGTTGTCGGAATGGAGCCTTCCGACGACTCCATTTACGGCCACGGGGTTCAGTCCTTGCCTAATCCCTAAGTTGAGTCAATGACATAAATAAACAAACATATATATATATATATATATATATGTATGTATGTATGTATGTATGTATGTATGTATGTATGTATGTATACATTTATGTATGCATATATATATATATATGTATACATATATATATATATATATCCATTGTATAGAGAGGCAGGCAAGCCCACTGTTCGAATTTGTGACAGACTAGGAAGTGGCGACGTGGGGCGGCAGTGGCTTTGTGGCGCCAGGCTGGCTGTACCGTTTCCTGAGGATTGTTCATATAAAACCCAAGAGATTATTAAACATGTATTTCACACATTTTTGTTTCATGGTTCCAAGGGGGTATAGTGTAGGGGTGCAATGTCCCACTCGTCACAGAAGTGGTGCGGTCATATCCTCCTTTGCAAGACAGCGAAGCCGTACGGGACAGCCTAAATCAACGACGATGTTGGGATTGATCAGCAAGGACAGCACTACTTGCAGCACTGGTCTTACGTATCAAGATAGTACCTCGAGCCTAGTTCGACTTACACCTTGCAGGGTGCCTGCAGGAACAGCTGGCTGGACAACCAATACGTGGGGATTGCAAGACCCATAGAATAAGCAACATGGGCCATCTCTATGTATTCGCATTAGATCGTGCTTGGTGCATGATGTGACTTCGCTCCGCTCGTTGTATGGTGTCTGCATTGATATGTCTTAGGTGCTACATTAAGTTACAGGCAATGTCTTGGCCTCTTTTGGGCAGTTGATGCAAGCAGCTGCGCTGTTTTGAAGATTTTTCTACATACCTGCTGGTTTCTGACAAGCCGCGCTTTTTGATGATGAGCAGCCAGTGCCAAGGCAACTCAGATACTGAATTCAAGCAGGCCTCAGCAGGAAAGCACGCATCCAAGATGCATTTGCACAACATGGAGCATGAACATCTATGGGGGAAAGAATGGGTTACGATGATAATGCCGGGAAGCAGACGGCGTATCCCTGCTTAGATCTGTTGCAGTTGACCTTGCCGATGAAGAAAAAAAAAGGTGCCTGGAAGTTCTGAGCCCCAAAATCCCAAAGATCGAAGCCCCTAAGCCCTGAGCCTTCCCTCAACCCTAAACCCTAAACCCCTAAACCCTAAACCCCTAAAAACAACAAGCGTTTCAAGAACAAAACCCACAGCCCTAAGATTCTAACACCCCAAGCCCGACGGCAAGCCCTGGAAAGAGATCGTCGGGCAATGGAGATCCATTCGTTCTGAATCTTCGGGTCGCCTGGTTGGCTCTCCAAGAACCTACAGTGGAAGCCCAAAAGTTGGAAACCCAATAGCCTCAATCCTTTAGAGTAATGTATAGGGAATCCCAGCTCTTTTTGGCCTTAATCCGGTTTCCAACTTCAAGGGGTTTACTGTACTTCTGTCAAACCCCATATCCAAAAGACCCCAGAAAACAGAACACCAACCCCAAAGCCCAAAATCCTCCCAAGCCCCTCCAGCCAAAGCCACTGTGAGGTGAGACGCTGCTGTCAAAGGCACAGGCATTGAACACCAGGAGCTGCACCCCAACCCTCCAAACCTCTAAGGTTTCTTTTTTGCGCTTTGGGGTTTAGGGTGTAGCCGTGTGTGTGTGTATATGTGTTTTGGGTGGAGCTCGGTGGGCTCTGGGGTTTTGGGCCAAGGGTCTAGGGATTGAGGCTTGACGGTCTCTGCTTTATAGGAGCTGTTTCTCTTTGCGTCGTTTCTCTTCTATCATGCAGTCACATCGACAAGGACCGCTGCTCTTGCTGCAGCTACTTCTGCCCTGAGCAGGGCAGCTGCATCGACAGCACTATCACAAGCAGCAGGAAGCAGAACAGCGACATCAAGGATAATGTAGGGGCCTTTATACTTACCAATACTATCTGGGGGGTTCCTTTTCATAAATACAGTTTTGGTACACTATACCCCAAAACCCTATTCTAGTTATTAAGGCCCTTACACGAATCACCACTTAGAGGATCATGGGACTTAGTAACTAGGGTTACGATTAGGGTAACTATACTTCTAGCTACTTATAACCCCAATCAAGGTACTTATAACCCTACTTACTAAGTCCCATGATCCTTCAAGCATGGCCACACCCCAAAAGCCTGAAGCCTCGAGGAGCCTGGGAGGTGTTCCCCTGCCGAAGGCTGCGGCAAAGGCGGGGGATAGGGTTTGGGGTTTAGGGTTTAGGGTTCGGTTTAGGGTTTAGGGTTCGGTTTAGGGTTTAGGGTTTAAAGTTCGGTTTAGGATAAGGGTTAGGGGTTCGGTTTATGGTTTAGGGTTTAGCGCTTCTTTGTAGCTGATTACCACCTCGCCTCTCTTTAAGCCTCCTAAGGCTCTGAGACATTGACCTGGGGTTTGGGTCTTAAAGGGCGGCCAAAGGCTGCCTTCACGACCTACAAACGTTGAGGGTCGTGCAGGATTTTGTGCCTAAGCCTCGAGCCCCTACCCCAACCTACAGAAACCTACTTTTGTGTAGGGTCCCGTTAAATTTCATATTAGGGTTCATAATAAGAACCTACAAAAAAGTAGGGCTTAGTAGTTTAAGGTAGGCTTCACCGAACCTTGCAAACCCTAAAGATCTGAAGGCTGGGATCCCTAAAGCGCGAGCCCAACGCCCTAAGACCCAACTTGTCCCCATCGTCATGACCAGAAGGATAGGAGGTATAGACGCCCTAACAAAAACGTAAGGCTAAAACCTAAACCCTAAAGCCTATGCTAAAACCTAAACCCTAAACCCTAATGCCTAAACCCTGAAGGCTGCAACCTCAAACCCAAACCGAAACTTTGCACCCCGCAGCCTAAACCCTAAACCCCTAAACCCCTAAACCCTAAACCCCTCAACCCCGAAACCCTAAACCCCGCAGGCACCTGCTGCAACCTTGGGAGCTCAGAAGCTCGTAGAAGCCGCTGCGCCCCGGACTGCCGGTTTAGGGTTTAGGGTTTTGGGAGATTTTCCCAGAGTCCGGGAGAGGTTGAAGCATGTGGGGGTAGGGTTTCGTCGAGTGTTGAGGTGAAGGCTTCTTGGGGTTTCGATTCAGGACATTAATGGTTTACGATTTTGGTGGTTTATGCAATTCGTGGTTTCGGGTTTTGGGCAATAAGAAGGTGTTGAGGGTCCGGGGCATAGGTTCCCATCTGGAGCCAAGCATGGCTGCGGAGCCCATATGGGAGTTTCCGAAAATAGGGGACCCTAATATAGTACCCCAAATCTTAGGATCCTTATTATAAGGGCCCCAAATAGGTACCCCTAATCTTCGGAAACTCCCATATCGATGACCCTAAACCCTAGGAGAGAGCCGGAAAGCGGTCTGAAGCTCCAAAAGGAAAAGGAGGGACCCTTAATAATGACCCCTAGGTATATAGCCTTATTATAGCTATTATATACCCATTATATAGCCTATTACAGGGTAGGGGTCCCCATTACGGGTCCCTCCTTTTCCCCTTTAGAAGCTGAATGATTCTCTCAGTGGCGTATTGGGGGCCACGGTCAGGGGTTTGGTTTCTTAGATGGTGCTGATGAGGGTGATGGTGAAGATGATGCTGATGTTGATGGTGAGATGATGATCAATGGTGCAGCTGCTGAAAATTTTGATGATGGTGGTCAGGACAACACATGACAACCATCATGACAACCATCATGATGGTCATGATGATAGTGACGACAATGCGCTTTGACGGGGCGGGTTATGTTTGGACTAGCAGTTGACATCACAACCCTTGCTTGCAGCGATGTGGGAGTTTCCGAAAACTAGGGGTACCGTATTGTGGGGTCCTGATAATCATATTTCGGGTACTATATTAGGGTCTCCTATTTTCGTAAACTCCCATGTGCTTCTACAGCAGCATACCTTGCGCGCCCCAGGCAGCAAAGGCAGCCGCGGAAGCTCTCGAGAAGGCCTGGAACTGCTTGCATCTTCCACCATTGCCAGATGGGGGTTTCCGAAGATCAGGGGTACCTTCTTTTGGGGTCCTTATAGTAAGGATCCTACTATTTAGGGTACTATTAGGGTCCCCTATTTTGGGAAACTCCCGGATGTGCTGTGAAATCAGGAGCTCCGAGCTTTGGGTTCAAGATCTGTGGGCTTAAGGACGGAAGTTCATGGGCTGGGGAGTTCTCTGAATGCGTTTTTGGGTGCTTCTGCCTTGCTTGGCTTAAGTAAGGATAAGGGACCTCTGTTGCGTGAGAAGCGAAAACAGATGCCGCTTCAGAGCCTCGGGCTCAAAGCGCTTAGCAACGCCGGGAGACCCGATACACCCTGCACCCTACACCCTACACCCTGCACCCTAAACCCTAAACCCTAAACCCTGCAGTAGGGAAAAAGGGGCGTTAAAAAAAAACCTAAACCCTAAAACTCTGAATGCCCTGAGCCATCGGAAGTCAACAGACCCAGGTTGGGGACTCCTTAGGAGGACTCTAGGTCCCCCAGGCTCCCCAAAACTCGTACCGCTGGATCCGAGAATGAACTTTGTACCTTAACCTACCGAAACCTACTTTTTTGTAGGGTCCCTTAAATTTCATAGTAGGGTTCATAATAAGAACCTACAAAAAAGTAGGGTTTAGTAGTGTAAAGGTAGAGTCATAAGGACCTTAGTGGGGTAGGGGGGGGGGTAGGGGGCCTCAATGCCCATAATAGTGATGTGTTGCCCTATGGCCAACTCTCCTGCTTGTTCGTGCCTCTATATTAATCCTCATACGCCTTGTAAGTCTTAACCTAGACCTAAGCCCTTATCCCGAAGCCCTAAGCGCTTGACACCCTAACGCAGGAACCTGATTAAGAAACCCTGGGCCTTCTTTTGCGCTCCTTATATGAATCCTACTATTTTGGGGTTATAGGCCCAGGGTCGCTAAATCAGGTTCTTGCATGAGAAACTGCGAAGTATCTGAGGTCTGGAGATCTCAAGCAGCTCGATGCCCCTAATCCTAAACCCGACAGAGGTCTTAAGCAGCCTAGGGTTCTAGAGTTTAGGGTTCAGAGCTTTAGGGGGCCCCTGATGCCAAAAAAGCTAACTTTGCGAGCTGGTGCCGATTCGGAGGCCAAAGCCTCGTTGTCAGAGCTTCGGGAGGAGCTGCGCAGCATCCTGGTTTGGGCTTTGGGTGGTGTCCGGTTTGGGGTTGAAGGGTTGAGCAGTTCAGGGTTTAGGGTTTAGGTTTAGGTTTAGGGTCTATGGGTGGTGTCCGGTGTCTAGATTTTGCAGGACTTCAGCGGTGCCGCGCAATGAGCGGTAGTGGTGGTAGTAGTAATAGTCGTCGTCGTGGTAGCAGCAATAGCAGTAGCAGGAGTAGCAGCAGCAGTGGCAGCAGCAGCAGCAGTAGCAGCAGTAGCAGTAGCAGCAGGTGTGTGGTGGTGGCAGTGGCGCATGGCATGAACTGCTCACGACCCCGAATTCCAAGGTGATCTCGCGGCCACAGTGGCAGCTGAGCCACGTTGGCTGCAGACTAGCAGAGCTCCTTCTAACTTCTGGGCTTTGCAACAACAGCAGTAGCAGTCGTCGTCGTCCACGTCCCCCGTGGCAGTCGAGGCTTTGGTGTGCATGGCAGCGAAGGCAGTAGAGTTGCGGCTAATCTAGCTTCCCACTTGCTCCAGCGGAGCGCTATGGTCACAGAAGACTGTCTGGTTCTTAGTAGGGAATGGGGGAATGGCTCCCTATGGTAGTCCCTACATAATCCCCAAAATTCATTTCCATAGTCCATTTCCTACTAAGCACGAGGCAGAAGAAGCATTGCTCAGCACTGAACATGGAAAGCCAGCAACAAGCACCAGACTTCTTTGCCCAACTTCCCGAGTCTGGTGCACCAACTCTAGCCCTAGACCCCAAACCTTTGAAACCCCGAACCTTACTTGGATGTTCGTGGGTAGCTATAAGTAGAGTTATAAGTAGGGTAACCACACTGATAGCCCATATTTGGGGACTTATAACCCCAATTATTGCTTGTAACCAAGTATCAGCTCCATTTAATCCCGGAAACCGGAAAAACGCTAAACACCTGAAGAGCCGTAAGCCCGAAACTCTAAACCCTAAACCTGAACACGAAAGCCGCAAATCTTTGAACCTTGAACCCTGCAAGCCTAACACGGCAAACCCTCAATGGTGGGGTGCCGGGAGGCCCGCCCTAAAGCCTGAAGCGCGAAACCCTAAACAAGGGGCTAGAATAAGTACCAATACTGTTTTGGGGGTTCCTCATTATAGTTATAGTATAGTACGCCCCAAAACCCTATTCTAGTTGTTAATGCCCTTACATGAACCACCACGGCCCCCCCCAAAAGCCTGAATGGTGGGGTGTAGGGAAGCCCGCCCTAAAGCCCAAGCGTGCTAAACCCTAAAACCCTAGGCTCTGAACCCTAAATCCTGCCCAAATGGGCTGTGACGGCTAGAGACTAGTGCAGTCGCAAAAAGGCCCTCAAAAAAAACAAAAAACACTAAATCCTACCAACCCTCAACGGCAAGGAAAGAGAAGGCTGTGGAGAGCTTTGCAGCCCTCGAGAAGGCCCAGCGAGCCGGTATAGTGCCCAAGGTTTGAAGGACTTGTTCTTTGTTTTTTGGGTTCTGATCGGGGTATAAAGATTTAGGGTTTAGGGTATAAAGATTTAGGGTTTAGGGTATAAGGATTTGGGGTTTAGGGTTTCTTTTGGGTTCTGATGAAGCCCAAGCCACGAGAGTTTCCAAATCCCCGCCAGCTCCACCTGCGCTCCAGAACCATTCACAAGTGCTTAGAGGTTCATGGCTAGATATAAGTGTTATCAGTCCCCAGATATTTGTAGCAATGATAGTTATCGTACGTATAACCCCGTTCATAGCTACCCGTGAAATTCAGGTCGTCGATCGGGGAGTTTAGGGTAAAGTCTACACCCCTAAACCCGTAAACCCCGGAAACCCTAAAGCCCTAAAGCCCTAAACCCACAAACCCCGAAAGCCCTAAACCTTAAACCCCTAAAGCCCTAAAAACCTAAGCCCAGGAAGGTCCCTAGCCTAGTGAGCTTCCACCCGCACCTCCGCCTCCCTGCGAGGCTCTAACGGCTCAGGTCGAGTCGACCGTGTCGGCGCCTGGGAAGCACTAAACTTTGGGTTTACGTAGGGGTTTTGGTTCTTAGGGGGGTAGGGGCTTGGGGTTTAGGGGTTCACGGGTTTGTGGGCTTTTAGGGGTTTAGGGGCTTAAAGGGTTTAGGGGCTTAGCCCCATCCCACTCATGGTTGTAGTAGGAATGTAGAGGGACTTTGGGTCACTTTCTGCAGGTGGGAGCCCAATCTAAGCTAAACCTCCCAATCACCAACAACTAACGTGAAGTTGAGTTCTGTTAGAGCGACCCTTAAAACCTTAAACCCTGAGCCCTTAACCCTAAACCCTAACATCCTAAAGCTCCAAACTAGGCCTAATCCCTAAACCCCGAAACCAGAAAGACTAAAAAACGAATCCTGGGAACCTTGCAAGCCACAAAGACCAAGCCCTTTAATTTGCTTCTGTGTCCATCTGTAGGTCTTAAGGTTTTCGGCCGGAAATTTTCAAGCTTTAGGGGTTTGGGGATTAACTTTTAGGAGTTTGAGTAAGGCACCTGCCTGTAAAGCGGAAGATCGCAGTAGCACGGCGGCAAGGTAAGTTCATGTGTAATAGCCCGTCATGGTCATCATAGCCATCCTAAGGTAATCCGGTTCACAGGACCCTCAACCCTGAACCCTCAAGCCTAATCTACCGTGGGGCTAGTGGGAACCAGCCGAGTTTCACGGAAGCCCACCTGAATCAGCGAAGCGCAGCCAAGCTACGACTGTAGATCCTAACCCTAGAGCCTACGCCCTAAACCCAAGTCCCAAACCCGAAACCTAAAAACCTCAACACAAAACCCGAAATGTCAGAAATAAAACAACCTAGAAACTTCAAAACTCAGCGACTCAGGAGTTGACTGCGCTGGCCGGGCCACGGCCGCGTTTGTCCCTGGGCTTCGGTTCGGGGGCAGATCAGGGGTCAAGGGGTTAGGTGTAGGGGGGTCAGACTTTCAGCGGTTCAGGGTTTAGGGTTGACTTTTTTGGTAGGGGCCCTATGAATTTAGTATTGGGTTTTTGTTAGAACCGACAAAAAGCTAGGTGCCAGAGTAGGTTAAGGTGGGGGCTGAGACTTGAGGAGACTTTGGTTTTAGGGTTAAGAGTATTGGGTCTGGCACTTACGGTTTCGGGTTTAGGGTTTAGGGTCTTTATATAAGGTATACTTCGGCCTGAACACGGATTCCTTTCAGGTGCTTCGCGGTGGAAGCTTGTACTATGCCGGGTTTCTGCCTGCAGATGGTCAGCACCGAAGACCCGAGATCTTTCATTCTAAACCCGCCATGCCTTGCACCCTCAGCCTGGTTTTCCAAATCCTGCAGAGCAGGTTCGTTTTTCGGATCCTCCCTATCTGCGGCTGCAGGAGTTGGGATATTGGGACACTAGTCTCAGAGCTGCAGGGTTTCGGATTGAGGGTTTGGGTCTGCCCAGGATCGGGAAGATTCTAGACCCCTAAACCCTAAACCCTAAAGGGAAACCCTAAACCCCAAAGCTTTTGGGGTCCGACGCCCTGCGCCTAGGCCCATCGACCCGCGCGAGCGGGAGGGCAGCCAGGATCCACGGTGAGACGGTGGTACATGAGAATATCAGCAGATCAGGGGCTTCAATGTGGGCGTAAATACAAGCTCCCCCAAACTCCCTAAACCCTAAACCCTGAACCCTAAATCCTAAACCAGGTACCCGAAACAAGCGTGCCCTAATTCTAAGAGCTCATGGCTGAGCCCTCACACCCCTGGCCGGACCTAGGTCTAATTACGATAATAGTTGCTATAGTTGCTATAGTTACTGTGGTTGCTATAGTTACTAGAGTTACTCTAGTTACTGTAAATGCTACAGTTACTACAGTTACGATAGTTGCTGTATTTGCCACAGTTAAGGTTGGGATGTTCGAGACTTGTGATTGCAAGCGACTTGCGGCGGAAACAAACACCCGGCAAGTTCTTGGAACCTAGGTTCAAACCAGGGAAGCCATATCACGAAGCCCATATGGGAGTTTCCGAACATTAGGGGTACCTTATTCTGGGGTCCTTATAATAAGGATCCTACTATTTGGGGAATTATATTGTGGTCCCCTATTCTCGGAAACTCCCATATCACAAGCCGAAGCTCTGACGGGACTTTGTACAGAACCTCGGCAGGAGTCGCAAGTTCAGGGTGGTCCAGATGCTGCCGGCGCGGGCCTCGGACGGACAGTGAAAGAGGGCGCCAACATGGGGAGAGTTAGAGCACTTCGAGGCAAACTTGTTGGGAGGGAGAGACGTTTTTGCAGATCTGAGTGGTGCCGAGCTTTAAGTCAAGAGAAAATGAGGCTTCGTCGACACTGCATGTGCAAGATCTAGGCCCGGAACACTGGAAAGCTAATTCCACCATCCTTGGGCCCGAAACCTGAGCCTGGTGTTGTCCGTGCAGACGAAAAGCTCGAGATCGCCGTTTTATGTCGTTTGATGCGATTCGCGAAGGCACAGGACACAGGTGGCAAACTGTCATGAAAGCGACTTGTGAGGCCACGCGGTTTAGGGTTTAGGGTTTAGGGAGCCCAACAACCGAGGGTAAGAACTCCTCGTCGTCGGTTTGAGTGCCGAGTGAGACAGGCAACCTTGGAAGGGGTCCAGTTTGCCTGCAAGCACTAACATAAGACATGTCCGCCCTTCTCAACGTTGTGCGGAGAGTTTTTAATATGGACCCCTAGGGGGGGTAGGGAGAGGGGGCCAGGGGGCCTTAGTGCCATAATAAGGATCTAATAAGACCTATTTAAGGAAGTAAGGAGGTGGCCCCTACCCTCCTTCCCCCCTGCTCCCCTAAGGGCCCCTACGGTTGATGATATAAACCCTGCATTACCCATAATACGGAATATACCATGAATCCCATAGTTGAGAGTCCTTAAGGTAATGCAGGGTTCATATCATCAACAGTATGAGTTATTCCGATCTGCCCTGCCCTCTGTCCTCCCTCGCCAGGTGTGACGCCCCGCGTGGCGGATCCATCTCAGGTGAGCAGATCTCGGATGTCCTGGGCTAGGGTGCAGGGTTAGGTTCCCTTAAAGGGCTCTATAAGGGTTACTATAAGGGATTTATAAGGCTATCATAACATGGGCTAGGGTTCGGGGTCCAGGGTTGGGATGTAAAGTGTGTAGAGTTTCGGGACAAACCCTGGGCCTGTATTAGGGTTCCTTTTAAGGGGTCTATAAGGGTTACTACAAGGGATCCATAAGGCTATTATAATAATGTAGGAAGCTGATTAAGAAACCCTGGGCCTGTAACCCCAAAATAGTAGGCTTCGGAAAAGGAACCGTAATAAGGGCCCAAGGTTTCGTAATCAGGTTCCTACATGAAAGCGTTTAGGGTTTCAGGATAAGGGCTTAGCCTTAGGTTTGGCTTACAAGGTGTACGAGAAATAATATAGAGACACGAACAAGCAGGAGAGTTGGCCATAGGGCAACACATAACTATATAGCGACCGTGAGAATCGCCGTTGCCAGTACTATTACATCACTGCTCTTTCTGCTGTCACGTCGTTGCAGCTAATGCCAATAGTCCGTCTACATTGATGTCTGCTAGCACTGGCTAGGAGCACAGAGATCCCAGTACGAACGCTAGGGCCCGAGCCTCTCCCCTGACACTTAAATCAGAAACCCTCGAAGCCTAACCCAGCTGCCAAAAACCCTAAGCCGAAACCCCCCATCCTAAACCCTAAATCCTAAACCCTAATAAACCCAAAGCCCTAAGCCCTAAACCCTACACCCTAAACCTTAAACCCTAAACCCTAAACCCTCACCTTGAAAGGGTTTTTTGGGGTATGAGAGCTTCAGGCTTTCGGGCTGAGGGCCTCTGGCGCAGAGGGCTTCGGGGCTTTAGGGTTTCGGGGTGTAGGGTTAGTGGGCGTTTCCTTTTTGGTTTACGATTTTCGGGTTCGGGTTCTGTGGTTTAGTGGGTTTAGGGTTCTGGGTTTAGGGTTAGGGTTTAGGTCTATAGTTTAGAAGGTTTAGGGTTTTGGGTTTAGGCTTAAGGTTTAGGTCAACAGGGCTTCAGTTTCGGTGTTTCAGGGTGGTTTTCGTGTTCTGGGTGTTGGTATTAGAGTAGTGAGTGTTGGGGTGCTGTACTTCCTGTTCACAGTGCTCGAGCCTTAAGGCTTCAGGGATCAATGCAGGGGTCGGAACTTGTCTTAGATCACCTAGTAATACCTCACAAATTGCAGTATAATATATTAGGTACTGCCCCCATACAGTGAGAGTCTATCATAGGGCTACTATTGGGGTCCTACTACATCTACATTATGAATATTATTCAACTATGGCCGTACGCGAATGATATATCTCAAAGCCTTGTTCCGAGCATGGAGGTCCCTGTATGGGTGGTTATCAAGATTATGGTCCCTTTTTGGATCACTAATATATTACGGCACCTCATGTGTAGGGCACCCAAAAAGGGACCATAATTTTGGCAACCACCCATATGAAGGTGTTGAGGCTTTCGAGATCGGGGGTTTCAGACTTCGGAGCAGGGCTTCGTGGTCAGAAGCAGCTTGGCATGGTAGCTGTTGAAGGTCGTCTCTGGGAGTTTCCGAAAATAGGGGGGTCCTTATAATAAGGATCCTACTATTTGGGGTACTATATTGGGGTCCCATATTCTCGGAAACTCCCATAGGTCTGAGTACGTAGGAATAGCGTGCCCCTGCAGTCTCTGAAAAATCATGTAACAGTAGACCGAAGAGGCACCCATACCAAAACCCTGCGACACCCCATAAAGCCTCAGTACGGCGAGTCAAAAGGACACTTCATCCGACCCTAGTCCAATCATTGAGGCCCGATGTGATTACTTGGGGGGTCGGGGGACTTAGTAAGTAGTTAGTAAGTAGACTTATAAGTACCCTAAAAGGGACCCTAATTGGGGTTATGGTACTTATAAGTCCCCAAAGTAGCCAGTTACTAAGTCCCCCGACCCTCCAAGTATAGAATAATAACTAAGACCCTAAGGACGCCTCTGTTTTTCCCTGAAGAAGGGGACCCCTCGAAGTGCCTTCTGTCCATCGCTAGGGCGACATCGACTCTCCGAAAGCATGGACGGCCAAGAAACCCAGGACCAGCGACCTGGATGCAAGGCCTACCTAAACTTTACAGGGATTAGGGACTTTTTTCGGGGTTGAAGGTTTAGGGTTAGGGTTAGGGTTTAGGGGTTAAAGGGCGTGATCGGAGATTTCGGCCGGGTGGCGGGAAGATGAATTTATCGGGGTCTGGGGTTTGGGCCAGACGGTAATTACCCATATTATAATTTGTTCAGGGTTCCTTCTTACACATCGTGTACAATTTTCCCCAAAGCCCTATTCTGACTATTCAGGCCCCTAAATGGCTAAAGGGTGTAGGTGGTTGTGGGATCCAGTCTCAGGTTTCAGGCTTCGGGTTCGGGTCTTATTCCCAGCTCCCTTTGATGCTCTAAACCCCAAACCCTAAACCCTAAACCATCGCTGTAGTCGGTGGCAAGACCTTGCGACCAGGAGCAGGCGGTAAGGCGCGGTGAGTGGCTAAGAATCCGAGCCCTAAACCCGAGCCGTCTCGGTTTAGGGTTTAGACCCTAAACCCTAAGCCCTAAACCCTAAACCCTAAACCCTAGACCCTAAACCCCAAAACCCTAAACCCTAAACCCGAAAAGCTGCTAAATCTTAGCGCCTTGCAGGCCTAAACTCTGAAGCCTTGAACCTTAGGAAGGCTGGAGCCCCACTTGGAGGACCATGGGACTTAGTAAGTAGGGTCCCTTAAAGGGGTCCTTATAGGGTTCCTTAAAGGGATCTATAAGAGCTCCATAAAGGAGGATCATGGGACTTAGTAAGTAAGGTTATAAGTACCTTAATTGGGGTTATAAGTAGCTATACGTATAGTTGCCCTAATCATAACCCTAGTTACTAAGTCCCATGATCGTTCAAGTAAGTCCCAGCAGCCCAAAACCCATGAAGCCCAGGCTTTCGCGTTCTGGGTGCGCTGGTGCCGGAAAATCGGCTGCAGAAGTGCAGATGTTCAGGGCTTCGGGGTTTTGGGCTCTGGGGTTTTGGGCTTTGGGGTTCGGACTGGGGGTTCGGGGTTTGGGGTTTGGGGTTTGGGGTTTGGGGTTTGGGGTTTAGGGTTTAGGGTCTAGGGTTCAGGGTTTAGGGTTTAGGGCTTAGGGTTTGGGGTTTAGGGGTTCAGGGGTTTAGGGGTTTAGGGTTCAGGGATTAGGGGGTTTAGGGGGGTTTGGTTTCTTGATTATTTCAGGGCGTCGGGAGTTTTTCCAGCTCCGGTGTCTCCCTTTGTGGGGTTTGGATTTCACTGAGAGCCATGAACATACGTACATATGTGTATAAATATAGTATCCAATACAACAAACACATATGTATATATATATATATATGTATTATAGTCTAATGTAATATAATAAAAAATATAATATATTATATCATATATAATATGTTACTACTACTACTACTACTACTACTACTACTACTACTACTACTACTACTACTACTACTACTACTACTACTACTACTACTACTACTGCGACTACGACTACTACTACTACTACTACTGCTACTACTACTACTACTACTACTGCTACTGCTACTGCTACTGCTACTACTACTACAAATAATGATAATAATCGTAGCAATAATAATAACAATAATAAGAAAATGATAATAGTAATATTAATACCACTACTACTACTACTACTACTACTACTACTACTACTACTACTACTACTACTACTACTACTGCTACTACTACTACTACTACTACTATTATACTACTACTACTACTACTACTACTACTACTACTACTACTACTACTACTACTACTACTACTACTACTACTACCACTACTACTACTACTACTACTACTACTACTACTACTACTACTACTACTACTACTACTACTACTACTACTACTGCTACTGCTACTACTAATAATAATAATGATACTACTACTAATAGTACTAATAACAATGATATTAATAGTAGCAATAAAAATTCGAAGAATAATAATGATGATATTAATGATACTAAGAATAATCGTAATATATATATATATATCTGTGTGTATATTATTTCTGTTTAGGTACAGGTACAATTATATCTTTGTGTGTGTATATATATATATATATACATCTGCACCCACCTCAAAAGCTTCTAGAACCCCCAAACATGCCAAAGCCCTCAGCCCGTTACGGTGAAGCGCTAAGCTTCGACCCCAGATGGGAGTTTCGGTACCTTATTGTGGGGTCCACATAATAAAGGACCCTACTATTCAGGGCACCATATTAGGGGCCCCTCTTTTCGGAAACTCTCAAATACCTCAACGTCCCGAGTTCCTATACCTCCAGACCCCAGGAGTTAAATCTCTCTATTCCCATACGCCCAAATCAAACACGCAAACCCAAGTACACCAAAAACTAAGAACCCCAAACTTTCGATATCCCAAATACCCCCGAAACCTACACCCCTACGTCCTGGACCCTTAACACCCCCAAAGTTCCAGAAGCGCGAAGCCGTAAACCCCATATCCTAAACCCTAAACCCGCAATCCTAATCCCTAAACCCGGAGATTTTCGAGACGTTTCGGAAGATCGGAAAATAGGTGCCCCCCCAAAAAAAACCGCCAAGCTTGCGCATGGCCTCTTTTTGGCCGAGTGCAAGGCCTGCCTCGGGGTACTGAAGAAGCCGACTGATGTCGACGAGACTTCCTAGGACCCGGCTTCTTTAGGGGGTTTAGGGGGTTTAGGGGGTTTAGGGGGTTTAGGGGGTTGAGGGTTTGGGGGGTTTAGGGGGTTTAGAGGGTTTAGGGTTTAGGGGGTTTGGGGGTTTAGGGTTTAGGGGTTTAGGGGTTTAGGGGTTTAGGGTTCAGGGGTTTAGGGGTTTAGGGTTTACGTATGGTTTGGGGTTTCAAACTAGGCTTCGGCTTGCCGGCTTTCGGATTTAAGGTTCTCGAGTTTTCCGGCTTTGGGGTGTTTAGGATGTTCGGGCTGAGGGTTTCAGAAGGATTTTAGGTTTTTAGGGTTGTTGGGTCTCCAGGGTTTAGGGTTTCTAGGGTTTTTTTGCTCAAGAGATGAATATGTAGGGTTTAGGGCTGTCGGGATTAGGGTTTTCAGGTTTTGGGCATAGGATTTTGGAGTTGAAAACACTCAACAGGGCTTTGTAGCGGTTTGTTTTCCAGGGCTGGTAGTGGGGTTAGAGGGTATCGCATGGTCGACATGGGAGGAAGAGTTGCCCTTTGTCTTACTTAATCGTAAGGACTTTCTGAATATAGTATACATACCCCAACAGCCCAACTCCTGAACATGCTTGGGGCATGGAGGTGTGCTCAGGCTCAAGAGATGTTCCAGGAGAGGGTGACGTTTCGTTTTTTTGGGCGTTTCGACAAGGCAGATGCCTTGAGCTGTCCTAAACCCTAAACCCTTGTACTGTGCACTCAGTCAAGGCTTGAGCAGGGAGAGAATGCGCGGGGGAGAGGAAGCAAACAAGTGTCCATTCCGGCCGAACACAGCAAGCTGGTTCGGTCTTGCAGCTATAGCATAACACACCCGCAGCCCTATTCTAAGTACTGCCTTCTATACGAAAAGCCCACAACACCATTCAACAAGTCCGATAAGCCGCAAGAAACCCATTAACGCCCTGTTCTAGTCAGTAAGGGCCCTACATTACGTCGTTTCTGCTTGGCCAGGAAACGTGGCTCTCCATGGATGCGCTGGTCTGCAAGTGGTGCATTGAATTCGGTACCACAGGGGCCTCTGGAATAACAATACGGTTTTGGGTGTAAAGTGGTGGTCAGTAGGGAACCCTTAGGACTAGTATTGGCAACTATTCAGGCCCCTATGGTAGCACGATCCACATTGCAAGTGCGATGTCGCGGCACAGTGCCAGTGTCGGGCGGTGTTTACCATCAGTCCGAACTCCCGTTCTCAAGCAGAGCTGTACCCTCCATCCGGTGCAGACGTCGCACGTTGCCTCTCGCGTGCCGTCAGCACGCATCTTCACAGCCTGATTCTTTGCGCTGGGCTTCCGTGGCAGGTGGACCTGTAGCTGAGTTTGCACAAGCACGTCGGAACCCGGCGCATTAAGTCTCAAGCGGCAGCAACTGTGCTAGAGTCCTATAGGGGTGGCGCCGAAACCCACATGGTCCCAGTTCGTATGTGAAGAGATTGCGAGCTTAAGAGCCGAGCATTGCAACGTCTTCCTGTCTCGGTTTTCTCCCTGCCGTATGAAGTCGCCTCAGGCTTCTCTAGCCCGCGCACAGAAAGGCACCAGACACCTTTGTACTCCTTATACCTGGGAGTTTCCGAAAATAGGGGACCCTAATATAGTACCCTAAATAGTAGGATCCTTATTATAAGGACCCCAGAATAAGGTACCCCTATTTTGGGAAACTCCCACCTATCTCCGGACCAGCTTGCTGGCATCTGCCAAAGGCAAACGGCCGCAGACAGGCGGTCTCGCAAAAAGTCAAACTGCAAGGTTTAGGGTTTAGGGTTTAGGGTTTAGGGCATCCGTTTGGAGGGATGTTGTATGTGCGTGCCGACGGTTGGAGTGGCCACGTTGCATTCTCGTGCTTGTCCAATTCAAGCCGGCGGCGCGATGTGACTGGAACTTCAAGAAGCCAAAAAGTATATGGCCCCTGCAAGATGAGTACAACCCTAAACCCCAAACCCTAAGACTGCATACTACGCCTTTACCCCCACATTGAAGTGAAGCGCATGACCGACAAGGATGAATCTGAGAACCCTCGATCCATGCAGAGCTACAGAGCCTGCTAGCCGACAGCAAAGCCGTCCACAATCCCTCTCAGCATTGTTTTTGCTACATGAACATTCGAGGCAAAGACGCTGGATACTTACACTTTTGCAATGGTTGACAGAGGGCAGCACCATGACGAAAAGCTTGGACTCTACGTTTCTTGAGTCGGGGCCCCAGCATTCGCCAGTGTTTTCAGCAGTGGGGGCGCCGACAACTTACTACTTGCTTTGGTCGTAATTCTGGCACAAGTTTTGTGTGAGGGATGCCCGTGATGAGAATGCTTCCAGAATTTCCGCTGACTGCTCTTTTGACTGGCCGAGGGTGGACCAGCGCATCGTTGAGGAGATATCCTGCTATCGGAATGACCAGCGCGACAAAGACGAGATCCTCAGCATCGTCGAGGCATCCGGCGAGCCTTGAACCTTTCCCTTTGGGCAGCTGGGCTGCCGGCATTCCGCAATGAATCCCCGGCAGGGAGTCCCCAAACCATTGGGCTCGAAGCTTCTGTGCCCCTAGCCTTCGGCTATTCGGAACACTGTTCAAGAAGCTGAAGGAGTCGCAACTTGTAGACGAATGCATGCCTTGGTGCCAGAAGCATGGGTGGGCGCTGCGCTATGCCCCACCTCTCTTCAAGTACTCGGAAGAGATCTGCGCCTGTATCCCAGAACCACTGCAACACCTGGGTTTAGGGTTTAGGGTTTAGGGACATGGTAAGGGTGCAAGGTGTATTCACACTACAGGTGTTCTCACACTACCATGTGAAGAGATTGTCATGGGTCTTTGCATCTAGGGTTTCGGGTTGGGAGCTTGATCCTGATACATACTTCGGTGCTTTTCGTTGTGGCCGACCGTCCAACGAGTGCGGCATGTCAGAACTCATGGCAGAACTCGCAAGGTCGCTGCGGTGAAGTCATATCCACTGGTCCTGGAGTTTATCTCACCAGACATGCGGGAAAACGACAAGGCGCCTAAACCCCTAAACCCTAAACCCTAAACCCCTAAACCCTAAACCCTAAACCCCTAAACCTTAAACAGTAAACCCCTAAACCTTAAACCCTAAACCCTAAACCCAGGGGGTGCTGCCTTGCTTGTCCTAAGCCCTTCCAGCCATAAGCTCCAAACCCGAGCCTCGAACCCCGACTCCTCAACCTTAAACCCTAAACCCCCAAACCCTCAAACCCTTAACCCTAAACCCTCAAACCCTAAACCCTAAATCCTACACCCTAAACCTCAACCTATGGAGGTAAACCCTACACCCTTAATCCTCAACCCTGAACCCTAAACCCTAAACACTTCAACCTTCAGTTTGAGCAGGTGGAAAAAGGTGCTTTATACACACCTCAACCTTCTGGAGGTAAACCCTAAACCCTAAATCCTAAATCCTCAAGCTTCTGGAGGTGGTGAAGCAGGCCGTGAGCCAGTGTGGGATGGCTTTGCTCTTCGTCCTGCGCTCAGTGGGAGTTTATGACTAGGGTTCCTTTAAAGGGGCTCTGTAAGGGCTACCATAGGCCTACACTAGGGTTCCTTCAAAGGGGTCTAGAAGGGATACCATAAGGGCTACTATAAGGATTTAGTATAGGGGCCTTAAGAATTACCTATACTATTTTGGGAGGTTTCTTATGATAAATTATGGTATGATGGGCCTCAAATCCCTATTCTACTTATAAGGGTCTTTGATTTTAGGGCTTTGGGTTGCGGGGTTAGGGTGTTAAGGGCATATACATGCATGGACTGCTGCATAGACGTTTAAATTCCAGAACCCAGCACTCGAAACCGGAGGGTCTTCGGGGATGCCGCTGCTGAGCTTTCCGTTTCCTAGCCCTACACTTAGGGGCCAAAAAGGCACATAAGCGTAAGCATCTTATAGTGATATCCCTACCTTCTTGGGCTTCATTATGAGGGGGTCTATATGGGATATCCCTATCCTAATTGTTGCTTATGTCAGTGCATTTTGGGGCCCTATACACTCCCTTCGCTTTCCCCCCTTTGCGAGGCAACTGCCAAGATGCGGAACCGGAAGGATGTGGTCATGAAGGTCCGCCTAAGACTAAAGGTAGAAGCTTGAATTAATCGGCTGTTCTATTCCTTCGCAGCATTATTTGTATCTATTGCATACTATACCCGAAACTCTGTTCTAACCTTTCAGGCCCCTATGTTGACTACGACTTGCAACGATTTTCACATTCCTTGAATCCGTCAATGAAGAAGCAAAGAGCAGAGACCTCTCCTCGATGTCCCACTCTGAACCCGGAGACTCCAATATCCTTTAATTAAGGAATATACCTTAATATTATAGTAGGATCCTTAAAAATGATTTAAGGTATATTCCTTACCCTAAACCCTAAACCCTAAACCGCTTAATTAAGGGATATTGGAGTCTCTGGGAAAGGCCGTCCAAAACTGTGGCTTGGCCCTGGAGTTTGCCCACCCGGACCGCCCTGCACTTTGGGCTCTCCTTCGGCTGCATTGCTGACCATATTTTTCCAATTTTTTTCCATGTTTCCTTTCAATTCCCTAAACCCTAAACCCTAAACCCTAAACCCAAAACCTAATAGGGCCCTAATTAGACTCCTCTAAAGAGGAATATGGACCAGACTTCTGTGAGTTGAGCGCGCTGAAGCCCGACGGTTCAGGCTTAGGCGTTTAGGGTTTAGGGCCTTAGGGTTTAGGGTTTAGGGTTTAGGGTTTAGGGTGTTTAGGGTTTAGGGTTTAGGGTGTTTAGGGTTTAGGGTTTAGGGTGTTTAGGGTTTAGGGTTTAGGGTGTTTAGGGCCTTACAGAGGTTTCGTTTGTATCCCATCGTCGCAGGACCAGAAGAAGCAACCGGCTGTCGTTTACACAGCCGTGCAGCAGGACAGGGCTTACTTTCCAACTCTCGATCCACTTGCATCTCGCAGAAGTACTGGACGACACACGTTGTATGGAAAGACTTGGCAGCTCTGTGTGCTTCCGCCGTAGT